CACTAGAGGTAAGAGAGAAAGTCTAGGTGAGCCATGGAGAGAAAATAGAACTTTGAACTTGACCCGTTTTATACTTGTTGGGTGTGGTAAGCGTTGGTAGTTAATGGTAGCCTGAAGATAACTTCAGGTATTTTCTGCTCCTGTATGGGGCAGGGGTGGTGGTAATGAGGTCATTGGAAAATTTTCAGAGACTAGATTTGAGTTAAAGTAATTTACCTCTAGGCTTTTGGGGTCACTTTCTTGGCTTTTTATAAGAATTATCTAAATGATACAGTTAAATTATATTAAGTTAGTGTGTTATAGTTGAGGGGAATTAAACTCACCTTCACTTGAATTAACATGTTATATTCCCTACTATTGTCATTGCTTGATTTGCTTTGAGGAATTCTATGTGATTATTTGTTCAATGCATTTTTGTTTTAGTTGAATTGCTTATAATCTTTAGGACACAGTGCTGTTAAAATCCCCTTTTAAAAGTGCTAAACAAAAAAGCAAAGGATTTTTTTTTAATGTGTTCTAAAACCTCGGAGTGATGATTGAAAGAAGTAGTTAGGTGTGTACTTCTTTGGGTTATAATGAATGGTTTTCTCTTCCCTGATCCTATTCTTTCTTCTTTTCCTTTAGAAGCGGAAGAAACTCTTTTAATTGACATAGCTTCAAACAGTAAGTATCTTTCTGAATGGAGTTGATTTTCATTCAACAAATATGTACTTGAAGATCCACTATATGTAAGACACCTTTTTTGCACAATTTTTATCTTACCATTTTATCCTGTATTCTCTATTTTCATAAGGCAGCCATACATGTTAGTATTGCCTCCCCAAAACACTTAGCCTAAGCTTAAGAAAAAGCAGGTGGCTGGTAAGAGTCTTTAAAAAGTTGAAAACGTGATCTGCTTTTCTGATGCTGAACTTCTTTGAGATACCAGTTTTTTTGTTGCTATCAGTTAAGTCATTCCTGTGGAGTAGGAAATTGTAGGAAGGGCCATAAAGTGTTTAAAGCACAAAAGGTTTATGAGGTTTTTTTAACTGCTGTTACGTTTTAAGCTTTTTTCCCCTACCTACTTTTGATTTTTACATGTTAAATCATAATGTTTTCCTTAATTTATTATATTATTTGGGAGGCTACAGAGTCCCTTTTGTACCAGGGATACCTTTTTTTTTTTTCGTAAAATAGTTTTGGTCTTTTATTTAAGACTGTCTTCTCAAGGCATTTCTTTATCAGAGAGAACACGGTCTTCCTTCTCACTGTTTCCGTTCTTGCATTTTTTATCTGTTTGAAACATATCATCTTTGACTGTCTGTGCAAGCTGTTCTCCATTTATCATCTAAAATTGTGCTTTGTTAATATGGGGAGGAAAAAATGGGCACTTGAATGCTACTGTGTCTTCTCTGTGGTTGCCGTGGGAAAGAGTATGTGACGACATGAATCCAAGTCAAATGGGGTGCTTTACCTCTTGGTTGAGTCCTTGGATGCCTGGGACTTGGCCCTTAGCTTGGGGCTATCAGTTCATACATAATTTTGCTTAGACATAGTCCCCGTCCTTGGCACTATTGTTTTGTATTACACAGTTTAGGTACTTCTTCTGATTTGGATTTTATTATTCTTTCCTTTGGTCATAAATTTTGGAACTCTTAAGGGCTGATCCTAAAAGGCTAAGCACCTCCAACTTCTAGCTTCTACTGCAGATATCCAGGATAGCAAGTAACCTAATATCTATGTCTTGCTGTACTTAAAAAGGAGAAGCCAAGAGCAATACTAATAAAGCAAAATGTGATCAAAGTTTGTTCAGCAGTGACTCACATTGCTGCTGAAATTTGCTGAAATTAGATACCTAAATGTCCTGTTCTTAGTATGGAAATAGGTATTTCCATAGCTTAAAAGTTAAACTGAGCTGTGCCTTTTCTCTTACAAACACCTAATTTATGACATTCGTTTAGTTGGCCTCTCCTACATGGAAATTAACCATGTGTTGCTGTGTCCAGAGTTCAAGTTACTAGATTACATGGGAAGGAGTTAAGTAACCACTTGAATAAAATCCTTCATTTCTGCCTATTTATTAATATTTGTACTGAAACTAGATTTTGTCTTGATCCTTAGGCTTCACATATAAACCTTTAGAGCACACAATATGTTGCTGGAGGAGACCTTGGGTTTGTTAAGCAAGCCTGATTTTACTGAAACTTTATGTTTTCCCATGTCTGGATGTTGGTAGTAAACATTTTAAAATATTTTTTCTGATTATAGAGATAATACATCCTTCATTATGTACAATTTTTAAAGTTCGGGAAAGTTTAAAGTATCAAATTAGAATTACACTCCTGTGACCTAGAGTTCACCACTGTAATTAACATTTTTATGTATCTCTTTCCAGTCCTTTATTTATATTTTTACATAATTGGAATCCTTGTATATAGTTTTTATCCTGCATTTTCATTTAACAGGTATTGTGACCTTTCCCATATCATTTAAAAGTTTAAAAACATGATTTTTAATGGCTAATGTTTCACCATAGCTATGCATCAAATTTTGTTAATTTAACTCCTTTGTAAAATTAAGTCACTGTCAAGGAACATGGGATATCTCTTTCTACTTACCGAGGTTCTCTATATCTCTCAGTAACATATTGTGGTTTTTTTCATAGATAGCAAATATTTGTAGATTAAGTATTTTTTGGTGGATTTTTTTGCTGCTATTGTCAGTGGAACTTTTTTCTTGGAAGCTTTTTTCTCTTCTATTGCTTACTACTAGTACACAGAGCAGCTGTTGACTTTTAGATATTTATCTTTTATCCAGCCACTTTACAGAATTTTATTTTGGGGGAACCTTTTATTTTCTTTTTTGGTTTTGATAGCCCTAGTCATCTGCAAATAATAGTTTTGTGTCTTTCTAGTAGCTATACCTATTAGTTTTGATTCCTATCTCATTACATCAAGAAGAATCTAGAGGTCAATGCTAAATGATGATGATGATGATGATGATGATGATGACATTTTATGTTTAGCTCCTGATTTCAGTGAGAATGCCTCAAGTGGTGCTTCACTGTTGAGGACATTATTGCTTATTGATTTGATAGTTTTATTTAAAAAAATGTTAAGAAACTGCATATATTTCAAGTTTGTATGAGTTTATTTAATTTTTTGACCATGGCATATGGGCATGTGGGATCCTAGATCCCTGACCGGGGATTGAACCCATGCCCCCTGCAGTGGAAACATGGAGTCTCAACAACTGGACCACCAGGGAAGTTCTTTGTGTTTTTAAAATGATGAATATATATTAAATTTTATCAAATGTCTTTTTAGTATGTATAGAGATGATTATATTGTTCTTCCTTATTTGACCTATTGATGGACAGTATAATACTAATTCCCTAATATTGAGCCCTCTTTTATTCATTCTTCAACAAATATTTGTAGAGTGCCTTCTATTTGCCAGGCACTATTCTAAGTGCTGCACAATCGGTAGAAAACAACGTAGATAAGGTTGCTGCTCCTGCTTTGGTTCTTGCTTCTGTGCTATTTGGTACTAGTGTCACACTGATGGCTATAATCCATTAATCCTTTCCATAAGCTTATGAACACCTCTTATGTGCCAGGCACTATGCTCTAGGGATACAGGGAAAAGCAGCATAGGCATGGTACTTCATGAAACTTAGTGCAGGAGACAGCTTTTAAACTGATAATGTATGGTTACATAGTTGCAGCATTTTTTTTGTTGCTGGCTTCATCACCCACAGCTTGTGCCCTCTTTTATTCATTCTTCAACAAATATTTGCAGAGTGCCTTCTATTTGCCAGGCACTATTCTAAGTGCTGCACAATCAGTAGAAAACAACATAGATAAGGTTGCTGCTCCTGCTTTGGTTCTTGCTTCTGTGCTATTTGGTACTAGTGTCACACTGATGGCTATAATCCATTAATCCTTTCCATAAGCTTATGAACACCTCTTATGTGCCAGGCACTATGCTCTAGGGATACAGGGAAAAGCAGCATAGGCATGGTACTTCATGAAACTTAGTGCAGGAGACAGCTTTTAAACTGATAATGTATGGTTACATAGTTGCAGGGGGGTTTTTTTGTTGGCTTCATCACCCACAGCTTGTGGGACCTTAGTTCCCCGACTCAGGATTGAACCCAGGCCCTCTGCAGCAGAACCCTGGAGTCCTAACCGCTGGACCACCAGGGAAGTCCTCATAGTTGCAGTTTTGATAAATACTATCAGGGAGAAATACAGAAAGTTGATAAGACTAAATTAGTCAAGATCCTCAGGGAAGGCCTGTTTGAAGAAGTGACCTTTAAATTGAGACCAGAGGGGATAAGTAAGAGGTGAAAATGGGGAAGAGAAGATTCCAGGTAAAAGGAACCTCACAGGTAAAGGCCCCAAATTGGGAAGTAGCTTGATACTTTCTTTGAAATGAAAGAAGGCCAGGATGCCTGAAATAAGTCTCAGGCACTAAGGTAGGCCAGGCTAGGACCAGATCCAGTAGAATCTTGTAAGCCATGATGAGGAATCTGGATTTTTAGAGTTTAAAAATTGAAAGAATATGAAGGATTTTATGCCCGTGTTGGGTTGCCAGGTGGCTCTTTCAGTGCTTTAAAGTAGAGTGCTAGAGAGTATGGTGGCAGTAAGAATGGAGAGAAGTGGACAGATATGATAAAAGTTTTTGAAGAGTAAATCAACAGGGGTTGGTGTGGGGGTAGCGGGTAAGCTGAAGAGAAGTTGTCAAGGATGAATCCTAGATTTCTGGCATGAATGTGGTTGGTGGTACCATTTGCAGAAATAAGAACATTGCAAGAGGAATGAGTTTTTCTGGGGTTTCAGCTATGTTTACTTTGAAATTTCTTTGAGACATTTGAATGTAGATGATAAATTGGCAGTTGAATGTATGCATCTGAAGCTCAGAAGTAAGGTCTGGGTCACTCGCACAAAGAGGGTATTTGAAACCATAAGAGATTAGGTAATTGCATTGTAGAGCTGTGCTATCAGTTATAGTAGCCACTAGTCATATGTGCCTGTTTAAATTAATTAGAACAAAATGAGAAAATCAGTTCCTCAGTTGCACTAGTCACATTTCAAGTACTCATTAGCCACATGGGGTCATTGTTTACCATATTGCACAGTGTAGTTATACAACATGTCCATCATCACAGAAAGTCCTATTAGACAGTGCTGATACAGAGTGAGGAAAAAGGTTTAGGATTGAACTCACTCTATTTTTTAAAGTTTGGGTAGAGGAGAAGATACTTTAAAGGACAATAAAAATTGCACTTTGACCAAAGAGAGAGAGAAACTAGATGAGTATGGTGTCATGGAAACCTTTTAAAGAAACTATTTCAAGGAGGGATCAACTGTTGATTTCTGCTGATAGATCTGATAATATGACTGAAGAATATCCATTGAATTTAGCAATATGGAGATTATTGGTGACCTTAACAAAGCAATTTCAGAGGAGTAGTGGGAGCCAAAGTCACACTGGAGTGGATTAAAGAGAGAAATGGAAGGTGAGCAAGTAGTAACTTAACTATGTGTCTTTCAAAGCTTGACTGCAGAGGGGACTGTAGAGGTGAACTGGAGTTGGAGGGGGATATGAGGTCCAGGAAGGTTTTTTTGTCTTAAATGAGGAGAATTTAGAACACAATTTATTTAAATGCTGATAAAAAGGACACTATGTGAGGGAGAGGTTGAAGATACTGAGGGGCAGTGTCTAGAGAATGATTGCAAGGGTAAGATTCCTGAGAGAACCCAAGGGGTTGTAATTCCTCTGATCTTCTTCCTTGTACCAGAAGGGAAAGGAGAATATGAATAGAGATACAGGTAGGTTTTATATGATGGCTTCCATTTCCTTTGAAGTATGAGGTAAAGCAGTCTGCTTGGAAGAAAAGAGCTTGAGAAGAGTGGGATTCAAAGACTGATGATAAATGTGAAGTTGTGAATTGTTTTTCCAGATAGTAGTGGGAGACAAGTTGACTATGGAAACTTAGACTGATTCCTAGCTACAGGGCCCTGTTGAGGTTAGCAGTCAATTTATAACGGAGTGTGTGTGTGCTTGTGTATCTGGTTTTACTCCCTCAGATATAAGTACAGAGAATGCAGTTAGTTGGATTTCTGAGTGTTGAGAGTTAGCCAGATAGGCATGGCCAGAACAGAGTAAGTGGTAAGGCGGTTCTGGGTTTTTGCAACAGAGTGAAATGATGGCTTCTGTTTGACAAAAAGGAAAGTGAAGAGCTTCCTGGTGGCTCAGTAGTAAAGAATCTGCCTGCCAATACAGGAGCTGCAGGAGACACGAGTCCAATCCTGGGGTCGGGGAAAATCCCCTGGAAGAGGAAATGGCAACCTACTCCAGTATTCTCGCTGGGAAAATTCCTTAAGCACAGTTGCAGGGTTAATGCCCTCACAAAAAAAGGTGGGGGAGGGTAGTGAAAGCAAGAGAGAGAGTGAATGAATACTGAGAAAGTGAAGGGATCAGTGTGTCCGAGGTTCCTCTAAGAGCAGGTAAGCGGCAAGGAGTTCAGAGTGGGTATTTGAATTAAAGATTTATGAGGTGATGGTGTTTCTGTGACAAAAGGTCCGGGGTGTAACTGAGGTAGTCCCAGTAAGACTGAGGGAGTAGGGTGGCTGAGGTGGAGGGGCGAGGTCATTGGATGAGGAAGTTGAAGGTGTTGACTGAGTTTTCGGTGCTAATTTTAAAGGGATGCAAAATTAAAGCAAAAGCATGAGTGGAGAGAAAGTCTTATGAATCAGGCTTGGATTCAGAAGTTTCTGGAAGGTTAGTACCTGGTCTCATGGAGGAGGGAAGGGAAGGCGCTGGCATAGTCCAGTGGGTGAGCCTCAAAGGAGAAGGGATTTTTCCTGAGGGAGGAGGAGAGGGAATGGACTGGAGATGGCATTAGGACAAATAAGGACACCAGTCTTAAATTACATAGTGTGTGAGAGACTATAAATAGCCTCTACTTCGGAGGGCCACAGGGGGAGCTACTGTCAGGGGCCAGCCAGTTTGCAGGTGACTGGTTTTCTGGATGCACTAGATCACCTGGGGGAGTGTTTTTAGAAATTGCCAGTGTCTGGGCTTCACCCCCAGAAATTCACTTTTCTAGGCCTGGGGTGGGGCCCAAGTGTCAGTATTTCCTGAAAGTGCCTCTGGTAATTCTGATGCTCCCTGAGTTGAGAACTACTGAGAGATTCAGGGAGTATTCAGAGAAGTTGAGGAAAGAGGAGTGTTAGCTGATCTCAGAGGGCAGAAGGGCTGGCAGGGAAGAGAGTAGACGGTTGGGTGGAGGGGGTAATTTGTTCTCTTTCCCATGCAACATGGTGAGAGAGCATCTAGTGTTTTTTGTTTTGTAAGCAGTTTCTGGAATCTTCTGTTAAATGGATCAGTTTTTTTTTTCAGTTTATTTTTTTATACTTGCTAAAATGTATCTTTCAAGATCCTGGGACAGAGAGAACACATGTTCTTGTTCTAAGTTTCTATCTGATAACAAGCTGCTCTTTTACGTCTTTTTTTCTACTTTTAACATAAATTATCAGAAAAAGAGAGGACTGTTTGTGTCCTGAAGGAGGTTTTCCCTGTATCTTGAAGGCAGTTCTAATTGACAGTCCTTATTCATGCCCTTCTTTTTCTCCTTACAGTGGCAGCCTCATTGATTTTCTTATTGCTGGTCCTCTTGCCTGCTTTTTCCCCCCATTTTTATCCTCTATGTTTATCTCTTTCTTCTGATCACTAAATCTGATAGATAGAAACATAAAGAAATGCAAAGAAAGAGTCAAAAGTTCAGAAGTGGATTTTTGCCATAAGAAACTACGATTTTCATTTCATTTTCTCATCCCTTTGTTATTTACAAGTCCAGTTCTATAGTCATTAAATGCCTTCTGTCTGTGAAGTTTGATGTCATTATTATCAATAAAGTAATTGATGAGCCCAGTTTGCCTGGGGCTTTCCTGGTCTTAGCTTTAGAAGTCTTGAGTCCTAAGAAGCCCCTCTGTCCCAGACAGCCCCGGGAGACCATTGAGAGTGTTGTGTTGGGTAACCCTTATGTGCAGCCTGTCTCTTGCCCTCAAAGAGCTTATAGTTTCGAGGGCCATGAGAAAGCAGTATGTGTAATAAATCAGTTAAAAGAAGAATATAAACAAGGACAGAGGTTTCCTGGATCATCATAGCCAGACAGTTGATACAGATGGTAAATGTAAGGCTTTAGAAAAGGGGAGACAGTATGTTATGTACATAAGAAACTGAACTATCTCAGATAACTTTGCTTCTAATTACACTGTTTTGTTTTCTTTTTTTTTTTGCTTCTAATTACACTGTTTTCTAATTGGCTATACTTGAACCAGACCACTCATGGACATGGGTCATTATATTATTTTTGTGAGTTTTTTTCAAGACAGATTTTTTTACTAGAGGTAAATGAGGTATGGATGCTTCTTTTCAGAATAATTCAAGCCAATCCCATTATGCTTTTCTTTTTTACTTAGCTTATGAATTCAGTTGCCTGAGTACAGTCTGTACCTAAGGAACAAACCATGCTATTTCCGTTTTTCCCTTCACACTTCAGAGATTCGTATTAATGTGATTTGGATTTGAAGTGGTAGGAATTTCCAGCTAGGAGGTGTGAGGAGGGTGGTTGGGGAATTGATCTTTTGCTAGAATTTGAAGGTTCCTACAGTGACATATGAGCAACATATCAGAATGTAGGAAACTATGATTTTATTATGCATCATGTCACTATATTGGGCTGCTCATTTACACAATTCATTAGCCTACATTAAATTTTTCTCTGCATCACCCCCAATACCACCACCACCACGAATCCCTTAATCTTATAGGTATGCTTCATACATTAGAGGTCTGGAATGTTTGCGATCTGGACCTTCTTCTATTAAATTGGTAAGTTGAAAATATGATCCCAAGAAAGCATTATATGTAGATGGATTTCTGTCCTTTTTAGATGGTTGCAAAATTCGGATTCAAGGGGACTGGACCACAGAGCGACGCTTTGAAATCCCTGATGAGGATCACTGTGTGAAGTTTGTCTCAGAGGTCCTCGCTGCTCAGGAAGGTAACTTAGGCCTCAGCAGTTTTCTTTCTGTTTGTATGGGACATGCATACAGAGACAGGTGGCCGTTAGCAGAGTACCTTGCCCATGGAGCCTTGATAGGTGATTTTTTTTGTTGTTCAGGAATGACCCCAGGGATAGGTTAGGGTAAGTCTATTCAGCTTTAAGGACCCTGAGTCAGTTTCTAGAATCTTCAGTTTCTTGCCATGGCCAGCTTACTGCAGACAGTGATCCTCCTCCAGCCCCAGATGGTCCCAGAGCTGCTCTCATTTTTTTAGTCTCTTCCTTTGTGTTCAGGAATGGTGCTAAGTGAATGGCCTTTGGTGGTGGCGGCGGTTTAGTTGCTAAGTCATGTCCGACCCTTGCAACCCCATGGACTGTAGCCTGCCAGGCTCCTCTTTTGGTTATGGTAAGTTCCATTCACTGGAATGGTTGTTCCACTCTATGACTCTTATCTCTCCAGCTCAGTCACAGCTTCTTGTTCCAGACCAAAAGGAGTCATCCAGCTGGTACCAGAAATTAGACACTAAGGACAACTCTTCTGTTTTTTCAGGTACTGAAAAGATTCTTTTCTTTCCCCTGGTTGCTATGATGATTGCAGTCAGCAGATTTTATCTGGGCAGATAAGATAGTGTGGAGTAATGTCAATGTCGGATACCTTCTCCTATGGAGTGGTTTTGAAGTCTGTACTCACCACCTCATGTTCACTCCTAGTACTTTCTGTGGCACATTAGCTCTTTTAGAGCCAGCTTAGCAGAGGGGTAAAAAACGCAGACTCCAGGGGCAGACTGCCTGGGTTTGAATCACAGTTCTCTGACTTCCTAGTTGTATGACCTTGGTCAAGTTACTTTGACATCTCTGAGCTTCTGTTTCTTTTTCTGTAACTTAGGAAGATTTTTTTAATAGCACCTATCTTATGGGGTCTTTGTGACAATTAAATGAGATAGTGATATAATCCCTAATTATCAACCAGGCATTGTGCTAAAGTCTTCTATAAATACTCGCTCTTTTAGTCACGTTCCAAGTTAATGTAACTTACTAGTTATGTTTATCATTCTAGTTAATATGTCAGTGGTTCAGGGACAGATGTGCTTCTTCTCCCATCTACGTTATCACTGTTCATATACCTTTCTGTTTGGTAACGCTGCTGAGCAAATAGGGGTCAGACCAAAACCGCTGACCAAAGCAAAGTCCTATCTATCCTGAACAAGTTGGATGTTATCTTCCCCCCTCCCTTTGACTCTGGGTTCTGCATCCTTCAGGGCTTCTTGGATTTGAGGATAATTTTTCATCTATGAATTTGGACAAGAAAATCAATTTGCAGAATCAGCCTATAGGGGTTCACCGGGAACCTCCACCCCCACCCCCTTCAGTGAATAGAATGTAAGTCCTGTGTTGAAACAGATTTCCCATGTGTGAGACCTCCCTGGTAAAGACAGTTTCACTTCTGAGTTGCTCATTTATTTGCTAGGCTTCCACGTGAAAAAGAATCTTCTAACAAGGAACCCCCCAAAGTGACCAACACCATGCGTAAGCTCTTTGTACCAAACACCCAGTCTGGACAACGGGAGGGTCTCATCAAACACATCCTGGCAAAGCGAGAAAAAGAATATGTTAACATTCAGACTTTCAGGTTAGTCTCTCTTCTACTTATGAAGGTGAAACATTAGTTACATTAATTGGTATAGCAAAAAATGTTCTTTTGGTATTTAAGATATTAGTGTAATTAGCTTATTTCAGAATAAAAGCATAATAAAAAAGAACGGTGAGCTGATTCAAGCGCCTGTCTTTATGCGGTCAGTAACCTACATATCCACAATAATGCAAATACTAATTTGCATTTTTTTCTAATTTTTAATTAGAAATTTTTTTTTCTAATTTTTCTAATTTCTAATTTTTCTAATTTCAATTGCATTGATTTTCTAATTACTAATGATACCACATCTACTAATACTATCCACTCTTATAGAACGAAGTCAAGCTCACATGTACTAGAGAATTGTCTCCTAGCACATTCCATAAGCAGGTGTGTTTATCTATCTGACCTGCTGAATTTCTTCTTGCCAGTATCGGCAAATTAAGTCCACCATTACCACTAGACCTTAATTTTCATTTTCCTACTTTGGTAAGTTAACTAAAGGAAGTTCGCCCAGTCGTCTTGATTGGGAGGCCTATCTTGGATTCTTTCCTCTATTATATTTTTCATTTCATCTTTACTTATTGATATCCTGTTTTTTGGATTCACTGTGTGTGGTGTGTGGAGTGGTGTAGTGTGGCGTGTATCTCGATGTGCAGAGCAGCAACACTTTTCTTTGTTATTTGCGAACAGCATGTACCCTTTTAGTCCAAGATTCCAGTCCCATCTGCTATCCCATTATGCCTCATTTATTCTAATTCAGTCATGACTATATCCCTGTGCTGAAGCCTCCAGTTCTTCAGATTCTCCAGGATGCTTATGTTTGTATGTAAACAGTTAAGACAGTCATGAGTTTTCCCTTCTGCTTTCCCCCTTAATACTATATCTGTCTCAACAGAATTTCCTCCACAGATGTCCTTGTAATCCTTCAAGAAGTGAGTTTTTGGATTTAACTATGGTTCCTTATGGAACAGTTATCCATATTAGACATCCTTACAGCATGAAGATACCTCTTTCCCATCCAGAAGTTCTCCCTTCAAATATGTTTGGATGGAATGTAAGAGGAAGGAAATGTGGTAGAGCCATTAAATTTGTGTTTATTAAATAGAAACTTGATTCCTTTCTGTAGGTTTACCTGATGTGAAATTTAGAGAGAATAAGCCCACTGCCTTTGCGTTCTACAGGCAAGAAGGGGTTTTTGGTATGTGTGGCAAAGCAGCTTGAGAAATTACACTGGCTTATTGTAAATATACACTTGTATAGAAGTAATGAGAAAACTTTCTTTAGTTCACACTTTACCTTTGTCTCTAAATTATTTTTTGGTATTATGTATTAGATTTTTTGTTGGAACGTGGAACGTGAATGGCCAGTCTCCAGATAGTGGGTTAGAACCTTGGCTGAACTGTGATCTGAATCCTCCTGATATCTACTGCATTGGGTAAAATACATGTCTGGAATTTCATTTTGGCTATATGTTTGGTGTTACCTTATGTGACATTTTGCCCTTTTTCCCCCACTGTTTGTAAAAACCTACTGTAGACTATACATGAGAGCTAACTTGTGGGTCAATTTTGTGAGATCATAAAGGAGCAGATACCTAAAATAGTGTGAGGAAGCATCTAGTCCTCTCAAAACACATAGAAAACTATATTCTTCATAGAAACTGACATCTGAGGTTAATCCTTATAGTAACTATTCCTAGGATATATAAGCAAAGCTCTGTTACCCATTATGGAAGTTTTTTTGTGTTTTGCTTGGCCTATGCATATACTTGTGGGGGAGTCTTTTGAAAAGAAAACTACTTGTCCTTACTGATCACTTGAATCAGTAGAGCAGTTCTCTAAAATTCCTCTCTCCCACATTCCTTTTTTCACCTAATGTCTCAGAAAATGGGACAGGAGGTAGTCAGAGATAATTATGGGACGTAGATCTCACATCCTCTTGTTTTCTCAGATTCCAAGAGCTGGACTTGAGCACAGAAGCCTTTTTCTACTTTGAATCTGTGAAAGAACAAGAGTGGTCCTTGGCGGTAGAGAGGAGTTTGCATTCCAAAGCCAAGTATAAGAGAGTAAGCCGCATTTAATTATCTTTTTTAGTATATGACTAAATACCACTCACTGGAAGTTACTCTGTTTATAGCTTGTTCCAAAAGAATGGATTAATTGAATTCTCCCCCATGTGTAATACCAGATAGGGCAGACTAATGCTTTTCATTCCTATTTCCTAGAAAAAATGTTCCCTAAGCTTCTCGATTCTATAGTTTCATTGCTTGACTAAGTTTTAAGAGAAAGGAAGAATTTTACTGTACTCATAACAATAATTAACTCAAATGACATATAAGTGATTTTTTGCAATAAGAATTTAAGATTGAAATTGTTTGCTTACACGGTCAGAACTGGATGCTTTACAGAAAAGCAGTTTGAAGCATGTGGGTGCATTGGGTAAGCTTTGGAACTGGAGCAAGAACAGGAGTGTTGTGGAATTTAAATGAGTTTAAAACTTGGTTGTAAGTTAAGAGTAGAGTTGACTTTAGCAAGGTGACCCAATTTGTTGGTCTTTAGAAGGCACATAATAGAGGCTACCAAGAGAGTTATTTTACTTACGCAGCTACCATACCAAGCCCTTCAAAAGGAGTCATCTGTCTGAGTAATTTTCATCTGCATCTTCTTACACCTGATGTAGGTGATAAGACTCCTGAAGATGTTGTTCCTCTCATATAGACTAATACATATTTCAGACATATTTCTAGTTCACAAAGAAGTCAATAGGCTTGTTATACATTTTATTAGGATATTGTAAATCAGAAACTAGGAAGGAGAGCCAAAAGGAACAAGCTGGCATAGAGGCTTTGTCTTTATTATTCAAATTTTTAATACTGCTTACTCATGGTAGGCTAAAACGTGATTAAAATAATGAATCTAGAGCTGAGGGTACTCGTTGTCCCTGAAGACTTTTACTGGTCAGAGCCAGATTAGAGCTTTCCTGGAAAAATTTTGTTTCCTCTTTATGAGGTCCATTGGGAAATTAGAGGATTTAGATTCAAATTGAGGCATGATTATATCTTCTTGGTGGAAAATTACTTGTGGGAAGTTAGATCTGTGCAAAGAGTGGTATTAGCACAAACCTCTTCTAATTCCCTGGAACTTAAAGGTTCAACTAGTCCGCCTTGTTGGGATGATGCTCCTGATATTTGCCAGAAAGGATCAGCTGCGATATATCCGTGATGTTGCTACAGAAACAGTTGGAACTGGAATCATGGGAAAGATGGTGAGTTACTTTGGAGTTGAGCTTGATTATGATTTCATGTCCATATGAAGTTCAGGTGCTCATTGTGTCTTTTGTACTAACTGTAAATAATTACTCTTGCTAACAGGGAAACAAAGGTGGGGTAGCTGTGAGGTTTGTATTTCACAACACTACCTTCTGCATTGTCAATTCCCACCTGGCTGCCCACGTGGAAGAGTTTGAGAGAAGGAATCAAGATTATAAGGACATCTGCGCACGAATGAGTTTTGTGGTCCCAAATCAGACCCTCCCACAACTGAACATCATGAAACATGAGTGAGTGGTTAAGTCTTCTTTAGCCTTTGAGTAGTGGAGCTGAGAAGAGACTAACCATGATGAGAAACTATAGAAATGTGCAGAGTGAGAGATTACTGTTAAGGGATTGGGTTCACAAAGAAGAGGAAGGTTTTGAGGACTAGCAGATGCAATGAGTCAGAGAAATTAGATTTGCTCTCAGAGGAAAGGTTAGTTCTATCAGCGGTCATCTGAGTAGTGGTGGAGGGAGTCTGTCAGTTGTAATCAGTTTTCATTATTTTTTATTATAAAATAGAAATGTTTATCATAAATATAATAAAAGGTGAAAGGAAAAAAAATCCATCATTTCTTATCTCTGCTTTCCCCAGGCAGTCCCTCCCTCCAGAGAAAACCATTGTGGACAATTCAGTGTGTATCCTTCTAGATCTCTGCTGTGCAGAATGGCAGTCCAGTAGCCATAGGTGGCTATTGGGCACTTGAAAGTAGCTAGTCCAAATTGAGATATGTGGTGAGCATAGACTATACACTGAAATTATGGGGAAAAATGTAAACTATCTCAGTTTTTAAAATACTGATTACATGTTGAAATGACAAAAGTTTGGATATATTGAGTTGAATGGAATTTGTCATTAAAGTTATTTTTACTTGTTTCTTTCATTTCTTATATTCAGCTACTAAAAAATTTTAAATTACATTTGTGATGTGCGTCCTATTTCTTCTGAGTAGTGCTGTTCTAGACTTTTATCTATGCACATGCACACATATTCATATAGGACTGTATTATCCTATATTTTGTGAATTATTTTCCAAGCCAGTAAACATAGATCTACATTATTCTTTTCACTGACTGTGAATCATTCAGAAAAGGGGCCATGGTGACTTAAAGACACCAATGGTTAATATGAAAGGTTAGTGAATAATGGGACTTAATAAGAACGGAAACAAAAATCACTTGAGGAATGGATTGTTAGTAGAAAATAGCTGTAAGGAAATTAACACTAGTAATTGAAATTCTGAGAGGGTGATGAGACTTGGAATAAGTAGTTTGAGATAGGAATTAGCAGGAAAACAAAAGATAATTTGAGGGTTATTAGAATCAGTAGAGAGTGGGGTAATGAAGAAAGAGTAGGGCAAGATAGTGATGTTGGTCTGTTCCATATTGTCTCAACATTTAGGATCGTACGGAATTCTGCTTCACAGTGGTAAAGCAAGGCCTTGACATCAGTGGGCATAATATTGACCTGAAATTCCATAAATTTATTTACCTGGGATTCCTTAAATTTCATGTTGCATCAAAGATTGGCAAGGAGACCCATTTAGAATTTGAAATAGCCCGTTTTGGTGCAGTCATTTCAGGGTCTCCCCTGTGGGGCTCTAAGCATACCTGGGGGTCTGTTGCTGTGATTGGGAGCCTGTGGCCCCTGTGGGCTGCCAGTCTCCTTCCTTCCTGGGACTGTGGTTCCCGGGCAGGGGTAGACAGACTGGCGACAGCAGAAAGCCCTGGACCTCTGTTTGCTAGTGGGCCCTGCCCAAGAGAGATGTCATTCAGACTGTGCAGACCCTCGTGGAGAGCCGGTAGAACATCAGGGCTCGGAGAGGCAGAAAATGTTCAGATTCTCTTCCCCTAGAGACCTGGCAAGCAGCCAGGTGAAATTTTGAAGCTAGTCCAGCAAATAAACTACATGCTTCTCTGAGGCAGTTAACTCCTTGGCTCCCGAGTCCCACACACACCCCATATTTCTCCATCTTTGTTCCTCATGCGGGCAGTGTCCGTCCTCCCACCTCTTTTCTCATCCCCTTGTCCCTCTCAGGCATTGATAGTCCTCATCCCCAAAGGATAGTTAGCACTCAAACCCCTTGTCAGATAATGATAAATGAATGCTTATCAGTAATCTACCCATTTTCCTTCTCTGCATTCTCCTCTCATTGACTTTTATGCTAATTACTACTACTCTTACTCATATATTTCTTGATCCTCAGCGTCGTCATCTGGTTGGGAGATTTGAACTACAGGCTTTGCATGCCTGATGCCAGTGAAGTGAAGAGTCTTATTAACAAGAATGACCTTCAGAGACTCTTGAAATTTGACCAAGTAAGTAAAATTTTATCTTATAGGTACTTTCTTACATAGCAGATAAAATTGTTAAGCCCCATGGGAAGTGTATCTTAATCTAGAAGTAGATGGAAAGGTCTCATTGTCTTGGGAAAACATTGTGACTAGTGAAGCAGTGAATACACACAAGGTTTTTACGAAGTACTTGGATGGGAGGAGGGGAGATAATATTAGTGATAAATAGTCTATGTAACATTTATTCATTAAGTCTTTATCAAGAAGAGATTTCAGAGATTTGTGTAAATGAGTTGGAGAATGGGTGGGGTTAATTGGAAAACACTTCCTGGAGGAAGCAGGCCTTCAGCTATGTTGATGTGGTTTGGCAGATGAAACAGGGAAAGCTGCTCTATGATTACTTGGCAGGCTCAGCAACAGCTTGGAGTAAAAGAGGGAGGCCCTATGAGGGGATTGGGGAGCACAGAAGAGAAGTTTGTCTGGGACAAATAGCACAAACTGCAGTCTAATGGGAACTGATGGAGAAGTTGGGACTAGCTGCTTTATAGATGTTAAAACTTGTCAGGGAAGCATTGATATGGTAGCATTTATATAAAACGATTTTGAGGAACCTAGTTTTCTGGCAGTTTGCCTCAGAACCTGGCACAGGACTTGAATTTTTTAGTTCAGCATATGGATACTGCTGGTAAAAGTGAATGCTTCTTATTGAGGGGAGAAAATGTTTCAAGTTGATTTGAATGTCTATTTTTTTAATGTCTTTAAATCTTAATATGAGGCTTTTAACCTTCAGATATGATCAGAATTCCGGTGTTTTATAGTGAGCCTATCTTCACCCTGTCTACCTTCACATTGAGGTTGGCTGGCTAACTTCTTTGCATTTTTTCCTCTGTCCTACCTCCAAAGGGGGTACAATTGGAATCTTATGTAATTCTGGTAAAATACTTGAGTGAGGATAACTTTCAAAATGATTTCTAACTCTTTACTGAATTTGGCTTTTAGAATTATCCACTCAACATTTGTGTGCTTTTTAAAAAAAGCTGTATTCAAACTATTATATATAGGATAAACAAGATCCTAGTGTATAACATGGGAAACTATATTCAATATCCTGTTATTAACCATAGTGGAAAAGAATATGAAAAAGAATATATGTATAATTGAGTCATTTTGCTATACAGCAGAAATTAAGAAAACATTGTAAATCAGCTATGCTTCAATAAATTTTAAGAAAAACATGCTAACTTCAGGGAACTTATGATTATTCAGGTTTCATTTTTCCATTGTACCCTGACCACCATTAGCAATAAAAAATTAGTGACATGCTTATATGAGCATCTTGTCTGTGGGTGAGTTTAGATGCTGTGGGAATGTCAAAATTTAATTCATAAGGCACAGAAATATTATCTATGTACTCTGACAATTGCAAAAGATACAGAAACTAGACGCATAGAAAAATAGCTGATCAACCTGATTATCACTTCTATTAAGATGGTGTTACCCTGCTTATATGATACATTTTTCTATCTCTAGCTAAATATTCAACGCACACAGAAAAAAGCTTTTGCTGACTTCATGGAAGGGGAAATCAAGTTTATCCCCACATATAAGTATGATTCTAAAACAGACCGATGGGATTCCAGGTAAAATAACAAGAACCTCATTATGGAATAGGTTAAGACCTAATCTTACTTCTGTCCCTCTGAATTGCTGAGGGATTGGGAAATTTTGGGGTCTTGCCAGAAGCAGAGATAAAAACATAGTGGCTCAGTGCTCTTAGAGAAGAGTTTTTCATCCCTGTGCACTCACATGTGAGCTCACCTTACTTGCTTGTGCTTCTGCTGAGTTGCTCTGTTGTGGCCAATTCTTTGCGACTCCACCAGGCTCCTCTGTCCATGGGGTTTCCCAGGAAAGAATACTGGACCCTATATGCAAAACAGAAAAAGAGACACAGATGTACAGAACAGACTTTTGGACTCTGTGGGAGAAGGCGAGGGTGGGATGTTTCGAGAGAACAGCATCGAAACATGTATATTATCTAGGGTGAAAGAGGTCACCAGCCCAGGTTGGATGCATGAGACAAGTGCTAGGGGCTGGTGCACTGGGAAGACCCAGAGGGATGGGGTGGAGAGGGAGGCGGGATTGGGGATCGGGATGGGGAGCACATGTAGATCCATGGCTGATTCATGTCAATGTATGGCAAAAACCACTACAATATTGTAAAGTAATTAGCCTCCAACTAATAAAAATAAATGGAAAAATAAATAAATAAAAAAGAAAGAATACTGGAGTAGGTTGCCATTTCCTCCTCTAGGAAGCTCACCTTAAGAGGGTGTGAACTGCTCTGAAGTTTTTTTTGTTTTTTTTTTCCATTTATTTTTATTAGTTAGAGGCTAATTACTTTACAATATTGCAGTGGTTTTTGTCATACATTGACATGAATCAGCCATGGATTTACATGTATTCCCCATCTCGACCCCCCCTCCCACCTCCCTCTCCTCGAAGTTTTATGAGCTGCCTGCAGCGCCTTATTCTCTCACCTCAGCAGACTCCTTATTTGATTTTTGCCCTCCTCATCTTGCCCTTATTTCCTTACCTAGTGCCCTGTTCTGCTGCTTTGCCCAAACTCTTTTTCAGCTCTTTAACTCAGGATACCAGAGGTGAAAACAAAGCAGCATGAAAGGTTCTTCCAGCACAGTGATTCTTGATCCTGAGTGTACATTAGATTCTTGTGTGTGTGTGCGCGTGCATGCACGGCTGTGTCTGTCTTTTTGCAACCCCACGGACTGTAGCCTGCCAGACTCCTCTGTCCGTGGATTCTCCAGGCAAGAATACTGGAGTGGTTTGCCATTCCCTTCTCCAAGGGATCTTCCTGACCCAGGGATCAAGCCTGCGTCTGCTGCATCCCCTGCATTACAGGCAGATTCTTTACCACTGAGCCACCAGGGAAACCCTAGAACCTCTTGGGGGACTTCTAATAATACCAGTGCCTGAGCCTGGCCTGCACGACTGCCAGAGGAAGCTGAGAATCCTGTCTAGTGGGGGGCTATTGATTTCCTGATCACCCCTAGTAAAGTGCCCCTGTCAGTATGTGCCTGGTGGCTGTGTGTCTTCTTACTGTTTCTTCATTCAGTATGGTTTCCTAGTTGTTTGAACCCAGAAGTTTGAAAGAAAAAGAAAATTCCCAGACATCATCAACTTCTTTAGACTTGGAATGCCAGGGTGGGGAGGGAGGAGCCTGTCTCCCTGTCCTCTGAGGGAGGGAGCTGCTCAGCAAGTGAAAAGTGACTCTGACAGATCTTGTGCACGTTGCTTTGTTTCTTCCACTCGCCTGACTTGAGAGTCAACTGAAGAGCTACTGATATGAAATTTATTTGTGTCACCATCTGGATCAGGTGTACAGTGTTGCTTATTTTAATAGAATGATGAATACACTTTTTCCCTTCCTTTGGTATTCTTATAGGCTGTTAGGTGTTCAAGCTTGCATGCTTAGATTTTTTAGTTCATCTTTATTAGAAGAAGCTCAACTTGTCCATAAAAGTCTAGGTTTAAAGAAATCTCTGCTATTACCCATCTCCATTGATTCAACCCAGTCTAGAAATACAGAATTGAATTTTTAGAGTTCATTTGTTGTCTATCTGTTGTGAAGTGTCATTGCAGTTGATAGAGCAAACAAAGAGGAAGTATTCTGAATATAATCCTGCCCTTCTGAGGTTATTTTAAGAAGGTGCTATTCTGCTTTCCCCTGGGGCAACATTATTGAAGCTGTAAATCCTGACCTTAGGAGCACTGTTTATTCATTCCCTGATAGCTCAGTTGGTAAAGAATCTGCCTGCAATGCAGGAGACCTGGGTTTGATCCCTGGGTTGGGAAGATCCCCTGGAGAAGGGAAAGGCTACCCATTCCAGTATTCTGGCCTGGAGAATTCCATGGACTGTATAGTCCATGGGGTTTCAAAGAGTCGGACACGACTGAGCGACTTTCACTTGACTGAGCACCTGCTTTCATCAGATCTTGTGCTAGGGGCTGAGAATTCAGTGGCAAACAAGACAGTCCCTTCACAGAGCTTGCAATAGAGTAGGGAATAGTTGAAGTCGTTAGGAAAGGAAAAGCAGATAATAAGAGGGCTGAACTCAGGTCTGAACTAGTGTGGTAGATACTCCACTCTTGTGTGGTATGTTCTCCTTCTAATCCCTTGCTGTTTTTTTTGCAGTGGGAAATGTCGGGTGCCAGCCTGGTGTGACCGAATTCTCTGGAGAGGCATTAATGTTAATCAACTTCATTACCGGAGTCACATGGAACTAAAAACCAGTGACCACAAGCCTGTTAGCGCCCTCTTCCATATTGGGGTAAACACTTGTTTGTTCACACAGTTGTTTGTGTGTTAAGTATCTATTCTTAGGGCATTATTAGGGATCAGTAATTTGGTGAACCATAAATGTTTTCAGTTCATAACCGAACAATCGTTTGCAACATTGAGAAGTTAGAGCCCTTGACCCTCCTAAATGCTGTCCATATGGCCTTTTAATAACACAGATGTTTCTCATGCTGCATAATGTCTGCGTAGCACCCGTCACCTCCTAAAGTTATTATACATAAAGAAGAGCTTGAAGCCAAGTTTTAAAGGATGATGAATAGCTTTGCATCAGAAAGATAGTGAAAAGGGAGAGGTTCCTGGTGGAGGTCTGGGGACAGCAGAAGCAAGGAGGCACATACTGGTCAGAATACATCATCTGTATGTAACCCTAAGAGGCATACTGTCAGTCCTGCTAACTAAGATACTGAAGTCTTCCCATCCAGGAGCATGGGTTTTTATTGTTGTTGTTTTTAAAATTTATTTTTTTATTGAAGGATAATTGCTTTACAGAATTTTGTTGTTTTCTGTCAAACCCCAACATCAGTCAGCCATAGGTATACATGTATCCCCTCTCTTTAGACCCTCCCTCCCATCTCCCTCCCCATCCCACCCCTCTAGGTTGATACAGAGACCGTTTGAGTTTCCTGAGCCACACAGCAAATTCCCTTTGGCTATCTGTTTCACATATGGTAATGTAAGTTTCCATGTTACTCTTTCCATACATCTCACCCTCTCCTCCCCTCTCAGGAGCACAGGTTTTAAATTTCTCTTTAACTCTGTTGCATCCTGGGCTGAAGTAATGGCCAATATTTGAATTGTTTTGTCTCTGTTATCAGAATAAAGTTTTTGTTTTCCTGTAGTATTTTCTAGGTGTGTATTATTAGTACACAGGTTATATTCTGGGATCTTGTTGACTTAATTTAGCACAGCTAATACATATAGATTATTCCATGTAGATTTTCCAGACCTGAGGTCATATAATCTGACAGAATCTATACAGGGCAGTGCTTGATAGAATGGACCTTACAGCTAGGCTGCTTAAACTCTCATCCCAGCTCAAACTCTTTCTAAATGTAACCATGGAAAATCTATGCAACATCCCTGTACTTCAGCTTCTTCCTCTATAAAATGGGGATAATGGTATATCCTCCAGAGGATTAATGAGTTCAGACATGCCAAGAGCACAGTAGGATGGATTTCTTTCCTCTGTGCATATGTAAATTTTTTTGACTTCTGAGATTGGTTCTCAGCAATATGTCTTATCCAGCTCCTGTCTTAGAGGGGAATGATTTTGGAGCATTTCCTTTATGTAGAAATTTAATTCTTGGTCTTAGAATAGATTCTAAATTGTATTGAGTCAATCATGACTTGACTTTCATCCATTTTGATATTTTAAAATAATAATGAGTAATAATAGTCTGTGTTTCTCAAGTAGTAACTAGTATGTAGCAGACACCGTGCTAGGCAATCTATACACATCTCATTTGCTCCTCACAACAATGCTTTGAGTTAAATATTTCTCATTTAACAGATGAGCAAGTGAAAAACCAGTGAGTTTTAATAAACTTTCTTAAAAAGCATTTAGCTAGAAGAAGAGCTGAGATTCAAATCTTAAGCCTGTCTAATTCCCAAACTTACAGATGATCTTTCCACTACCCCTGCAAGGCCTCCAGAGGTCCAGAGAACTTACTGAGTACATGTACCTTCAGATACTACTTTTTGCCCACTTCATTTCTAGCTTAAACTTGTAGACTGCCATGTTTTCTTCATTTGAGTTCTCTTAATCCATTTTTAGAAGAATATCTTCCTCCCAAACACTAACCTTTTTAGTTTCATCAGCTATGCTTAGCTTTTCTGTGTATATTTTTTCCAGAACCTCAGAATATTTCTAATATTCCATACATATTAATTCAAAGCTCCCAGAAGGATATTTACAGGTTTTCCATGCTTTCTGTGTATTTTTGTGTATCTTTGATAAATTTGGCTCAGATGGTAAAGAATCCGCCTGCAAGGTAGGCGACCTGGGTTCAGTTCCTGTGTTGGGAAGATCCCCTGGAGAAGGGAATGGCTACTCACTCCAGTATTATTGCCTGAAGAATCCCATGGACAGAAGAGCCTGACAGGCTATGGTCAATGTGGTCACAAAGAGTCAGACACAACTAAGCGACTAACACATACATATTAATGCAGAGCTCCCAGCAGGATATTTACAGTTTTTCCATGCTTTCTGTGTATATTTGTGTATCTGTAATAAAGGTCTACCTTTCTAGTTTTTAATACTTTTTAAATTACACAGAGATGCAAACATGTTTTCTCTTTAAAATAAAAATAAGCAAAATTCACAGGTAAAGCTGAGATCTTCAGCACCCATTCTAGCCTCCACTCCCACTTTTGCCCAAGCCCCCACTCCTTAGCAAGGCCAACTACCCTTATGAATTTCTTTTCTTTCTAGATCAGCACTCTCCAATAGATTTTCTGTGATGATGGAAATGTTCTAAATCTATCCTGTCCTGTCTAAATCTATCCAGTAGCTACTAGTTGCAGGTGGCTACTGACCACTTGAAGTGTGACTGAAAGAACAGAATTTTCGATTTGATTTAATTTGGAGTTATTTAAATGTAAATTTCCTTATGTGGCTACTGGCTGTTATATTGGTCGGCACAGTTCTCAATGTTTGCATTTGCTTTTCTGTTTATCCATACCCAATATGGTATTATTTGTGTGTTGCTGTGTATATATCATAAATGGTCTTATACTGTATGTGTTGGTATACAACTTACTATTTTTTAATTCAGTGGTATATTCTAAAATGCTATCCATGTCTTTATATAAAGATCTAGCTCATTGTACTTAATTCTGATTTTGTTGGTAATTTCTTTTTCTAAAATGGGTGTGCCAAGTGGTGACATTCTGTGGTGACATTTTCCCCTTCGTTACCCTTCATGTGCGTTAAGGGTTTTGATCATGATAATGCTCTGAGAAGAGCTTTGATTTTATTGGGTAACCACCCCATATTTTGTACTCTTAGGCATGCTATGATTAGAGGCTTTAAGAACCACATTATGTTTCTTACCACCATTCGCATCAGTGACTGTTAACAAAGGGACCAAGTGCTCAGGGGCCAATTAACTTAAGACTTGCTGTGGGCTGGCTGAGATTAAGCTGAGATGGGGTTCCAACCCCTGCACTTGGCAATGGGATCTGTTGCATTAGTTCTCAGACTTTGGTGGGTGTCAGAATTGCCTAAGAGCTTCAAAATGCATGGACCCTGTCCTCTGGAGATTTTGATCTATGGGCTGAGGCACTGTTTTTAAGACCTACCCAAGTCACATACCTGGTATTTTGGAAAGGGTCTTATGCTAGAGGTTCAGATAACACCTCTGCTGTTAACTGGCAGTGAGCAACTTGGTTGATTTCTTTGTACCTCGAGATTCTCAACAGTGAGAACAGTAATCCTTGCTTTGGTCACCTCACAGGTTGTTGTGAAAATAAGATGACATATGTAGAATACTTTTTGAAATAAAACTTGCAAAATGTTGAAAAATAACTTAAGAAGTATTAAATTCCTCTTACCCTAACGATGGGTTACCCCTCAGTTCTCTAAGTATGGTTCAGATATGTAAAAACCTTTGAGATATTTGGCTCAGCTTTATTTTTCATGCTTTCCTTACAGCCTCTACTGCATGCATCAATCTGTTTTTTTTTTTAATTGAATTTGTAAAGTTTTCTACTCTGAAAAAGAAATCAGGATCTTAATAAGTGAAAAGGCTATGTTAATTTTGTTCATTTGGAGCATCGATTTGTATAAAGTTTTTTTTTTTAATTAGTTGGAGGCTGATTACTTTATAATATTGTAGTGGTTTTTGTCATACATTGATATGAATCAGCCATGAATTTACATGTATTCCTGGTGCACTGGGAAGACCCAGATTTGTATAAAGTTTTAACAGTAAAAAAAAAAGGCACAGCTGTGTCAGGAAGCTGAAAATGCTGTGTCAGATGGGAGTTTTTTGATCTGTTAGTCAGAATGATTTGTTTGTCTATTGTCATGCTTTTACTCTGGGACATTTTGTATTGGCTGTTTTCTAAAATGTCCGTAGGGTCTATTTACTAACATACCTTTATCATCATATAATCTGAGCATTGATATGATTCTTGGCATTGTGCATAACAGCTAATAGAGTTAAATGCTTTAGTAATTATTTTCTGCTATTTCAGTGCTTCATGATCATTGTTGGAAACAGGTATGTTTTGACACTGTCAATTTGTATAATGGTGGAAATAATATTTAAGCACAGTCATCACATTTTCTCCACCACTAAATTACTTAACAGTGGAGCAAAGAATATTCTTCCTAAATATTTATTGCCAAGCTTCTTAGCACAAAGGTGTAACTTTTCCAAGAAGTTAACCAATTAACCTTACCTCTACCTTGCAGTGTGTGATTCTGTAACGTTTATTTAATTTCTGTTTGTTTTACTGACCTTTGAAAGATAGTTAGACTCTTTGAGATATATGAGTTGAGAGCACAGAAAACTAAATAAGGATCTATCTGGTTTGGTTTTTTTTTTTTTTTTTCCAGATTATAAGGTGTGAATGAAATGAGATTTCAGAAAGTGTTGGAGGAGGTTGTTTGCACCACAGTTTATTTGAAATGATTGCTGTAATGACCGGTTTTAAGCTGTTAGGTAATCTATGAGCTGCGAGCATGCAAGACTGAAAAGAGGGTTCATTTTCTTTCAGGTGAAGGTTGTGGATGAACGGAGGTACCGGAAAGTGTTTGAAGATATTGTACGCATCATGGACAGAATGGAAAATGATTTCCTTCCTTCCTTAGAACTCAGCCGGAGGGAGGTGAGCATACCCAGCCACCTGTCTCCTGCCCATAGTGGTCAGCACAGGGGAAATTGTGTAACTAGCAGAGTTGTGAATACTGTGTGAGCTGAAGGCAGAGTGCCTCTGTTCCAGTCCCTGTGCTGACCGCAGGCACCTGTCCTACCCTCTCTGAGCCACAGTTTCCTTTTCTGAATAAAGGGACAGTTGTGAGGATTACTTGAGTTAATACACGCGAAGCCCTTAAAACAGCACTGGGCACAAAGTAAGCCCTCAGATGTTAGCTGCTCTTATTTAATATTTCAGATTTGCTGGTTAATTCATATCTTAGGAACCAGAAGTTGATCACAGGATACATGCCCTGATCCGAGGTCAGGTTATCCTCTCAGGATCCCAGGAACACTCAGTAACCTAGAGAAGTAGTGAGACCTGCCTCACTCCTCTGCCATTGTGAGAGGGGATGGTGGACAGCTGGCTCGCTTGGCGAATACATCGGCAGTTAATAATGGTTAATAATGACCTTATTCTTTATTCATATTCTCTATGGAATAATCCAACTGACTTTCTTCCCCTACTAGTGATGCATGTTTGTGTCTGTCTGTTATTCCCCAGTTTGTGTTTGAGAATGTGAAGTTTCGGCAACTACAAAAGGAGAAGTTCCAGATCAGCAACAATGGACAGGTTCCCTGCCATTTTTCTTTCATCCCTAAGCTTAATGACAGCCAGTACTGCAAGCCATGGCTTCGGGCTGAACCTTGTGAGGGCTACTTGGAGCCAAGTGAGTTTCCCCTTTACCATTGTCTCTGCTTGTGATGTACCGTCCCCTCGTGACTCCCATCCCCTCCCGACTCCCATCCCCTCCCTTTGTTTAACTTCTTGTTTTTTAACCACATGTCTCTCACCTTCACTGTCATTATATTGGGGTTTCTCCCTTTTTTGTGTGTCCCATCTCTCCTTCATCACTTGATGATTTTTTTAGAGGACAGTTCTTCTGTTGGTTCTCATCCCCTTTCTGCTTTTCCACTGGAAGTTACCGTGTATCATCTCTTACATTTCAGATGAGACTGTGGACATCTCCCTTGATGTGTATGTCAGCAAGGACTCTGTGACCATCCTGAACTCAGGGGAGGATAAAATTGAAGATATTCTCGTCCTCCACCTGGATCGAGGCAAAGATTACTTCTTGACCATCAGTGGAAATTACCTCCCAAGTTGTTTTGGTACATCCTTAGAGGCTTTGTGCCGAATGAAAAGACCAATCCGAGAAGTTCCTGTTACCAAACTCATAGACTTGGTAAGAGGCATCGTAAGGCGTAAATCTCCCTAAGCTGGAAATTTAACAATGCTTCAGTGATGTCCTCCTTGTCTCTGTGCTTTCTCTTTGGGCAGGGCTGGTGGGAGGAGGTGGGGGGGTGGACCACAAGCAATGAATAAGAATGTCACTTTACTCTAGCCTGCCTTTCATTGGATTAAGCCTAAAAGGAAAGAGAAGAGAGTAATCTGTAATTGACCCTTGTCGTGACTATAATAGATAATACAAAGTTCCCTGAGTGAGATTAAAGCCTCCCTTTTCAGAGATGCAATGCTTAATTGTCACACTCTTCATATTTTCAAGTCATTTTTGTATAAATTAACATGTACATGAGGTCCAGTGAGGGGTAGGGCAATATTATCCTCATCAAACTTACGAGAAAACTGAGGCACAGAAACAATAACCTGCCCAAAGTGGAATAAGTTAGTGATGAATCTGTTACCCAGATTTTCTCACTCCCAGTCCAGAACTTCTCACTGTATCATATCTGATCCACGTCAAACTTGGCTGTTCTTGGCTGTTCGTTGGAGCCGAGACCAAAATAAAGCTCAGGGTACCTGCCTCAGAGCCCCCGGGGGTCCTTACCCAAGTGCAGGCCCCTCCCCCTACTCACCTGTGGCAGTGGAATCAGAATCTCAGGGTGCAGGGTCTGGGGATCTGTGTTTTTGTCAGCATCCCAGATGGTTATAATGTGCACTGAAGTTTGATACAAGTTTAATGTGACTCAACTGGAGAAAAGAGAAGAGGATTTCCGTTTCCCAACACCAAGCTATGTACTTATGGAGGAAATGCTTATTATCTTCAGGAACATAAATTATCTATTAACAACTATTAGAACCTTTCTCCTATGGAGAAGGAAATGGCAACCCACTCCAGTATTCTTGCCTGGAAAAGTCCATGGACAGAGGAGCCTGGCGGGCTGTAGTCCATGGTGTTACATGACTGAGCATGCATGCAAGAGGAAGGTGGAGGGAGATGGGTTGGTAGCAATAAACTGGTAGAACTTAAAAAAACAACAAAAAAAGAACCTTTCTTCTGAATGAAAATATTGTATTTGTGTGCAGACCTCTTTGGGAAGTACACTCGGTCTTTTACCACAGAAAATTAAATGATGTGACAGCCATATGTTATCATTACCACCAGTATTCACATTGATCCTTTTGGCTTAGCTGGAGCAGTGATTGTATCATCTGGCAGGGAGGACTAGACCGGCGGGCAGGCTGCTGGCTTGTCAGAGTAGGATCCATTCTGTTGCCATGGAATTGTTGTAGCGATGACTCAGATGGCAGATTAAAACCCTTGAGCTCATTTGCAGCATTCTTTCTTGGAATTATGCTTGTTTCCCTAGAGCCCTCATGACTGAGTGTATTATTATTCATGATCCTTATTTTTTTCTTCTACCATCATATTCCTGTGTTTTTAGATTTATTATTTCACCTTTTAGAATACGTTCTAAATGAAGTTGTTTCCCTTTCTTTTTCCTACCAGCTTGCCTCCATCCCAAACGCCATTTCCCAGCTTTCTTGTTCCCAACTTTTATTATGAAACTGGCACATGTGCAGAAGAATTGAAAGAATGGTGCAGTAGACAATACCCACATGCTTTACACACGTATACCGACATATACCTTTTTTTTGCTATGTTGTTCAAAACTAAGTGGTGATGTGTCACTTCCCAGTGTACACTTTGACCTGCTTCCTTTTTTTTTTTTTGTTTTGTTCTGTTTTGTTTTGTTTTTTGTTTTTTTTCCATTTATTTTTATTAGTTGGAGGCTAATTACTTTACAGCATTGCAGTGGTTTTTGTCATACATTGAAATGAATTAGCCATGGATTTACATGTATTCCCCATCCCGTTCCCCCCTCCCACCTCCCTCTCCACCCGATCCCTCTGGGTCTTCCCTGTGCACCAGGCCCGAGCACTTGTCTCATGCATCCAACCTGGGCTGGTGATCTGTTTCACCCTAGATATACATGTTTCGATGCTGTTCTCTTGAAACATCCCACCCTCGCCTTCTCCCACAGAGTCCACAAGTCTGTTCTATACATCTGAGTCTCTTTTTCTGTTACCATCTTTCTAAATTCCATATATATGTGTTAGTATACTGTAATGGTCTTTATCTTTCTGGCTTACTTCGCTCTGTATAATGGGCTCCAGTTTCATCCATCTCATTAGAACTGATTCAAATGAATTCTTTTTAATGGCTGAGTAATATTCCATGGTGTATATGTCCCACAGCTTCCTCATCCATTCGTCTGCTGATGGGCATCTAGGTTGCTTCCGTGTCCTGGCTATTATAAACAGTGCTGCGATGAACATTGGGGTGCACGTGTCTCTTTTAGATCTGGTTTCCTCAGTGTGTATGCCTAGAAGTGGGATTGCTGGGTCATATGGCAGTTCTATTTCCAGCTTTTTAAGGATTCTTCACACTGTTTTCCATAGTGGCTGTACTAATTTGCATTCCCACCAACAGTGTAAGAGGGTTCCCTTTTCTCCACACCCTCTCCAGCATTTATTGCTTGTAGACTTTTTGACCTGCTTCTTGAGAAAAAGGACACTTTCTATATCAGCACAATGCCATTATAATGACACCTAAGAAAACTAGCCAGTCAATATTCAGATTTTTCCACTTGTCCCAATAATTCCTCTCATAGCTTTGTAAAGCCAAGATCCAATTCAGATTCAGGCAGTACATTTGGTGAGGTCTCTGCAGTCTCTTCTAGAGAACAGTTCTTCCCTTTTTTTCTTTTGATGACGTTGGCTTTTTAAGAATCCAAGACAACTGTCCAGTCAAGGGCCTGCCATTTTAAAAATTTGTCTGATTGTTTCCTCTTAATGATTTTTTAAACTTATCCTTTTGTACTCCCTCTAACTGGAACCTTTTGCTCAGAGTTAGTTCAGGCACTATACTACCCTTTACTCTAATTGTCCCATCTTAATTAAAGGGATGGGAAGGAGACTTAAGCAGCATTAAGGAAAGTTTCTTTAAGATATTATCAGGTAATTCAGCCACATTTGACCATGAATAGGAAGTAGCCAAAGTCTTTAGTGGAGTTAATGGCTCTGTAGAAAGCCTTTTTCCTTCTTTTTGTGCACACATGATTCAGAGTTTGTTTTTTAAATAAAACCCTGATCATTTGAGCTCTTCTTAAATTGTGTTTGTGTGGTCACAATTTACTCTGTTTAAAGCTTTAATTTTGTAGGATTTAGGGTCCCGATTCTTTTCACAGCCCTTTGCATTTAATTATTATTAAATTCCTGGATCTCATTGATGAAGAAATTATCCATATTAGTGTGAGGAAACAAACAAGAAATCTAAGATTATCATACCCCATTTGTAATACCTTCCCATGCTGTTTTGGCTTGATTTTGACCATCTGAAATGCTTCAGTTTGTTTGTTCATGCTTGTTCCAAGACCCAAGATGATAGTTCAAATCCCATGAGATGGTACCCATTGTCCTTTTTTGTATTATTTACTCTAAAATTTGAGTGAAACCAGAAATGAGTTCAGTGCCTGTGTTGACTTTCCTGTGCTGTTTTCACCAAGATCCTTCTGCTACATGCTCTTCCCCACAAGTGCAGAATAAAGTAACTGGTGTAAATCCTTTTCATTCTCCCTGATAGTGACTTTGCTGCTACTAGAGCTATTAGGATTAGCACAGGTGACAAACAGGATGATCTCTTTGTAATTATCTTTATTCTTTTCCAGAATTAAGGTAGATTTTTCTGGTTTATTAAGTAGCATATACTCGTCAATATGTATTCATTGTATATTGAATACAAAGTATTAGAGAGTTTATTGGGTTCCTATAATTCAGTGGTGATGAAAGTTTACTTGTATTTATAATATGGCTAAATTCTAAACCAAGGTTAATAGGAAGTTTGGTTAGAGATCATCTAAACTTAACTTCCTTTACTGACCCATGTCCAGTGTGTTTGGTAAGTCAGTATTTTAGAAAGTTATTTAAAATGAGTCATTTAGAATGTGGAACTTGTAATTTATACTAACAAATAGATTCCTTTCCTGTGCTGCTCACTCAAGCCCTTATATGCTGTAAAAGCTTATTGATTGATGAGCTAATTTCTGTGAAAATCAGTCTCAGAATCAGCCTATTTTGGTGTGTGAAGCTGCCTAGATAGGGTGGGAGTGGGGGATGGAGAGTCTTGAAGTCAACACATGAGTTTATACTGGAGCCAGAGGGCATCTAGACCCATCAGAAGTCTTCGATGAGTAGTATGTGGTTGTAAATGGTCGCATTAGTAGGTGGTTATAAACAGACACATTTGGAGGGGCATTCTAGTTTACATGTAGATTGGACTAGTGGAAAAGGAGAGTAGGCCTGAACCCATCAGATTTAGCTAAAGGTTTGGCTTGTAAATACAGAGATGGAAAAAGTTGAGGGATGAGGGAACCAGCTGTATTTGCTTGGGGACATGTCTATTAAGGGCTTTTCTGGTCACTCAGATGGTAAAGAATCCACCTGCAATGCAGGAGACCTGGGTTTGATCCCTGTGTTGGGAAGATCCCCTGGAGGAGGGCGTGGCAACCCACTCCAATATTCTTGCCTGGAGAATCCCAATGGACAGAGGAACCTGACAGGCTACAGTCCATGAGGTTGCAAAGAGTTGGACACGACTGAGCGACTAAGCACATCACATGTCTATTAACAGAACGATATCAGAAATCTGAAATAGCATGAATAACAATTTGGTAATTAATTTGTTTCCAGTGATCTCTTCGGTAGATGTTTGTTTTGTCTTCCTGACCTAATGACCCATTTCTTACCCTGTGAAGTTTAAGGTTTGTGTTTCTTTTTAGATTTCACATGAATGAATCCTTTCTAGAACTTCAATATCTGTTCAGTTTTCTGCTTTTTAAATTTGAATCTGCCTCTAAATGACTTTTTTACATAATTTTCATTGCATTTATTACTGGGAAATTTCCTCTAAGGCTGAATGCTGGGGTGAAGAATGATTTGCAGTGTATTTGTGATAAGCCAGTGTTCCTGCTGGGGACTCCTGGGCTCTTTTCCCTTTTTTTTTTTTGAACTTTTTATTTTGTATAGGGTATAGCCCATTGATGATGTTGTGATAGTTTCAGCTGAACAGGGAAGGGACTCAACTGTACATATACATGTATCCATTCTCCCTCAAACTCCCCTCCCATCCAGGCTTGGCTGCCACATAACATTGATCATAATATGATCAACATGTAACCTTTTGCAGCCAGTAATCAAGTCAGATGAACTAAGTGATTAGCAGCAAGGGTAGGCCTGCCTTAGGAGAATGCTTTTTTTTAGTGGGGGCTAAGTGATGTTTCTATTTTCAGAGTTGAACCTAGAGTTGAATAAGTATAAGTTACACCCACTTTCTGCCTGAAGCCAGAGGAATAAACTATCAATGTTAAGTCTGCTGCACCTCCACCAATACCAGAGACCTTTTTTTTTTTTTTTGCACTTTCATTTTTTAATAGTGAGTATACAGAATGCTATAACTGCTTCATATATTTCGCCTTTTTTATTAACTTAAGATATTACTTTGCTTATAAAATAAACATATAAATATCATGGCTGACTCATGTTGAGTCTCTTGTATCCATTCATTTTTTAAAAAAAATATTATGTTCCCATTATTAGGTGAGGTGCATACTCTCTCCCACTTGATCTACCTCCTTAGCCTTCTAATGATTCCCTCTGCCTCTATTTCCCTAACCTTGCATTTGCCTTCTTCAGGGCTGTCAGACTGATCTTTTTGTAATACAGCTATGGGGCCTATCGTTTCCTTGCTTAAAGGCAGACCTTTGGCTCCCCCACACCTGCTGAATACAATCCAAATTGCTTTACCTGTCATTCAAGGCCCTGCAGAGTCTGACTTCAACATACCTTTTTAGATTTATTTCCTGATAGTTTTTTCATTCCCCCTTTATCCTCCCCCAGGAACCATATTACCGACTTTTTCTTAATCTCACCACCTTTGTTTCTTTCTGCCCCCCCACCACTTGTAATGTCCCCACCTCGTCTCTACCCTTTAAAATCCTGTGACTCTTTTAAGGGCTAGTTGGACTTCTTTCTTTGTACCCCTGATTTTTTGTTCATTTATTTTTACCATTTATTGAGAACTCAGATTGGTGAATTACAATAACGCCAGGCCATAAATTCTGGGCCTCTTTACCCCAACTCAGTTGCAAACCCAGGTCAAAAACCATGTCTTTCCCCTCTGTGTAGCCTCAGTTTTCATACCTGCCCCACACCACCACCCCTCAAAGACATTTAGCTCAGTGTCTTGCACTGGTAGACAGTCAGTGCTCAAAGAAGACCTTTTTGATGGTTTGGCAGATTAGTATATAAAAACTCTGCCTGGTTTTACTTATCACATCATATGGCACATATTCATGGGAGGGAAAATAGAGAAGTCTGTCAGGAAGATTCTCTGCTTGTTAATAAGTAGCTCTAAATTTTAAAAAAGATTGTACTCCAAAATTGAGTTAACTTAGACGTTTGGCCCTCAGAATTAACTTCCAAAGTATTATAATTACAATACTATAAATTTTGTATCCTTTATAAAGCACTGTTATTCTGATTACTTCTGTTTCATTCTATATATGATATTTCATTGTATCTATGCTACAAAAGTATGTTTAACTCATAATGTAGCTAATAATACTAAAAACTCTACCCATCATATGGAACAGTCATGTGGGACAGATGCACTCAGCACTACTAGTTGGAGTGTCAGGGAACACATACTTCCCCACCTCCAACCTCCTGCACATTTCTGATGGTGAGATCAGGATTTCTCCTTTCACTCTCAGACCGAGGCATGGGATTTCTATTCAGATTCTTGGTGGCCCCTGACAGGGTTGGGAATTGTTGGGGAGGTGCAGGGAGCTTTGAGAGACCTGGCCTGCTGCCGGCCTTTTGCACCACCACTGCACGCCCTCTACCTCCCTCCCCTACTCTGAGTTTTAGGCCACTTCTGGGTGCCTGTGAGATAAATGTTGTTGTCTCTGGTTAGAGATGGAAAAACTGAGGCTCTGTGAAGTTCAGTAGCTTGCCTGCAGTCCATACAAAATGAATAAGAGGTAGAATGAAGATTCATACCCAGGACTGCCTGACACCCACGCCTGTACTCTTTCCACTAACCCTGCTGCCTTGTAACTGTCTTTAGCCTGCCAGAGAATAGACTACATTCTCGAAGATTTCCTCCGCCTCTCTGTCTAGGAAGCAGTCAGTTTATCTTTTTCTGAGTTACCTAAGGGAACATAGTGGTCATGACTGTGGAGTCAGTCAGACTTGCGTTCTAATCCTAATTCTGCCACTTAATACCTAAGAGTGTGGCCGTGGGCAAATAATTTAATCTCCCAGAGCCTCAGTTTCCTCATCTGTAAAATGGGAATAGTATCTACTTTGCATTTGTGCAGAGACTAAATGGCACTGTATATGAGCCCGTTGCAGTTACCGCTACATGGCAGATACCCCTTAAGTGGTGGCAGTAGTTATTGTTGCTGTTGTCTTTGTTAGATGGTAATAATGGTGAAACACAAAGATGATTAAAAAGATACCTTCTTCCCTCTTCCTTGCTTCTCTTTTTTTCTGTTATGCCCTATAGGAAAACACACTAGGGGATAATGATGGATCTTATGGTCCACAAAGGTCTGGAATGAAATGAATTTGTATTTCAGAGAGACTTCATACTTGGGGACTCTAATGGCCCTTGAGGAGGGGAGAGGGTACCAGGCAGGGGAAAGGAGTGAGAGAGCCTGATCGCTAGGCTGAGAGGCACGGCAGCGGAGAGGAGAGATGCTCACCGTCTCCTTCTGCATGGCTGCTCTTGGGCTCACAAACACAGTCTTCCGTTGAAGTGGCACTAGGGTGAGCGAGATGCCGCCCAGCAGCACAGGAAGAGGAAACCCCAGTGGGCGTTTGGCTGGTCAGCTGTCATCTGCAAATGGACACCAGAGTCTAGGACTGCACACGTATGTTTCTTAAGCGACAGTCTCAACAAACTGCCCAAAATTGAATATGCATAATCAAGAAATTTGTATGTGAGAATGTGTTCCATTTTCAACAGAATTTATTTGAAGAATTTAAAGCTGTTTAAAATACATGTATCTAGTAAGCTAGTGCATTCTAATAATACTGATCTGTTTCTAATTCTGTAAATTAATTCTAATCATTTTCTATCTGTCAATGACTTTCTTTTCCTGCTCCGCTCTCAGGAAGAAGACAGCTTCCTAGAAAAGGTAATGCAATCCATTGGTGATTATGCATTTCCCTGTACTTGGTTAACATTTAACCATGGTCCTTGGAATTTATCCCTCAGCTTTCCCATATCAGAGATCTCTGACTCCATGAGAATTCCCCCAAATTCTGCCAGCTGTGTTTAAGTGTGTCTAAAGTACAGGAAAGATACTTATTACACCTGCCAAATCGTTGAGACCCAGAACATGAAAGCAATAGGACCCAAAGTTCCAGATTACTGTTTTTTGAAATGAGAAGTAACTGAAGATTTGTCTCAATGTATATGAAAGCTCATAAGATAGAGGAGGGTACCGCTTAGCCATTCTCCATTTTCAGTGATAGTAAAAGCAGAAGTGAATTTCTGTTGCATTAAGAGTGATTTGGGGAAAGTGATAAGAGTAATTACCAAAAGAATACACAGATGTGGTCAAGAATAGAGCATTGAATAGAATCCTAGACCTGAATGAGATCATAGGGATCATGTGGTAGAGTTCCCTGCCTTCAGACAGGGTAAGATGTCATCTCCATTCTAATAGACAACCCAGGAAGGTTGAGATCCTCGCTGAAGTCATCCTGCTCCTGACATCAAGGGTGTGGGGCACAGGGGACTAGAACCTGGGTCTCCTGCATATCCAGTGCAGGAACCAAGTGAGCACTCCTTCTATGGTCCTTTGCCACCTTTCCATCCTCAAGCTGGAGGGTGCCCAGCTCCACAGAGGGTCATCTAATAGAGAAACATGGGCTTGAAAACCATTCTTAAAACACTTTCACACAGTATCTAATGTGACCTCCCCATTTGGTGGAGTTTAATGTGTTTTGATGGTAGGCACGGCATACTGTTTTTGTGCTTCAGTTAATATCACGAAGGTTACAGAGTGTGGACTTATCAAGCACTGAATGTCTCCCGTTGAAAGAAGACACAGCATGCCTGGTTTCTCTTTGAAAAATTAGAGTTCAGGATCATTTGTGGACTTTTTTTAAAGTTTGTTTCTTGGGCGTAATCTTTCTCTAGACTTAAGAGACAACAAGCATGACATTTCATATTAGCACACATGAATTTGAAAATGGATAGTGGATGGTGTATGTAACCTGGTGGCATTTTATTAACCTTTTTAAACCACTAAGGATTGAGACGGCTCTGCTTCCCAATCCTTTCCTGTTAATAGCAGGCCATGTGTCTTTTCATCTTGAACAGTGCCTCGTGTTGCCTTAATGCCTTAGTACAGGCAAAGTGCTAATTGGATGTCAGATTTTTTAAAAATTACATGAATTGGTGCTGAATAATTTATTCTGCTGAAGAATCTGTACATGTGTTGCATTTGGTCCAGAAAGTGAGCAGAGTGCATTATGGACAGTGTTTTGGCTCAGGTATCATGTGGATGCCTGGATTTAATACTTGCAAGTGGAAAGAAGTTAATGGATGAGCCATGATTGGAGGTCTGGCAGCTCTCGGAGATGTGAATATAAAGTGATGGATTCCCAGGGAAAGAAAGGAAACAAAATGAATGTGAAGAAGATAGATTTTAAATGCTCACCAACTGTCATGCTCCCTTCTCTTCCTGATGCCCGTAGAAAGGCACAGCGGCTTTAAAAGGTCACCCGTGCATGTTGAAGAACAGAATGCTCTTCTTAGCCCTCTGTCTGTTCTAGTGTACACGCTCTCTGAAAGTAGTGAAATACTTCTCTTCTTTCCCTTCAAGTGACACAGCTAAGGGTTGTGGATCAAATTTACAGCACTTCCTAAGTTTGAGTATATATAATATGTGACCTTAAGCCAGAGGTGTAGGAGGAGGTGGAAGATGCCAAAAACTTGTCACCATTTTCTGCACTGGATTTTGTATGAAGGCTGCCTTCAGATGCCTTTTAACCTATTTCAGAAATCTTTGTGATATATTTTATATTTGACTGTATAAACATGAAATCATTGAGTTTATTCCCCATTTTCCAGTTCAGATTTAGTTACTGATCTAACTTATGTCGCTTCTGGGTTTTCCTCTGAGGTTCCTTCAGGAGAATCTAAGAGAGAGTAGAAAGTTAGGTGAATGGAGTCAAAGGCCTGAGAACTCTTCGCTGAACTGTTACTATAAAGAATAACTTCTGGACTCAGAGCCTAGACTTTTCATGGTATTTCTGGCTCTTGGTATGCTGTGTTCAGTTTACTATTTTTGGATCTTGGGACTTTGAGTTTTAAGTGTCTTAAAATTAGATCTTCTATCAAGCCTGAAATATTCATGCATGTAGGTCTAATGTGAATTGTTTTTCATTCTTGAGGATCAGAGAATGCCATTTAAATCAACAATGCAAGCTCTGATACTTGTGGTAAGACCTAAAAGAAGAATAAATTAAAGTAAAAAAAAAACCTCAGTAGCTGCTGCTCTCTCCAGGTGCTCTGTTGACAATTGTAACTTAATGGTCCGTGGGTCTCCAGTAGTGTGTGGACTCTACCATGACTGTATTGCTGGTTCTCAGTGTCATCCTTGAAAGGATTTACAGTGCACAGTGCATCGACGTGAGAAACATAGTAAACCCAGAAGGAACGCTTAACGGTTAAGTGAAGCGTCTTGTTAGAAAAAGAGATCATTTAACTGTGGAAATCCATATCGAGTGCCTTGTGACCAGGAGCGTCCCAGTGAGAAAAAAACAATCTTATGAGCTGAAGATCAGATAATACCCACAAAGGCAGAACTTGGCAGGGGGCGGGGTGGAGGAGATGGTTTCACACAGGAATTTTTATTGAGACCCTTTTGACTCTCACTCTTTTTCATCTATTAGGAGAAATCCCTTCTACAGATGGTTCCCTTGGATGAAGGTGCCAGTGAGAGACCTCTTAAGGTCCCCAAGGAGATCTGGCTCCTGGTAGACCATTTATTCAGATACGCCTGTCACCAGGTGAGTGAGGGCAGGCCTCCGGGCACCTTGGAAGGCACCTGAGTCCACTGGGAAATGATAGTACTTCGTGTCAGTATAGATAGTGCTTTTAACTTTCCCAAGCCACTTCTGCAGAACAGCACTGTCACATGAGAGCACCTGGGCAAGTGGAAGTATTCCCATGTATAACTGTGAGAGCTGAAGCAGGCAGGCTCGGGGATTTACCTAAGACCATGGCATAAGTGTAGTGGCAGAGTAGGGCCCAAGTGAGCTCCCCTGTCCCCTGGCCACACACGCTTTCCCCTGGACCACTCAGCACCTGAGTCTGGAGCACCTGCTTCAGCTGTCACCTTGGCATCACAGATTTCAAAGTCCAAAGCAAACTTCCATCCCATTTTTAAAGTTTGTCCTTACTTTTTAGTCCCATCTAAAATACCTACCATCCCCAACCCATCCTCCCAAAAAAGAAAATTTTCTTGGGACTACATTGAAAGATAATGTCTTACTACTGAAAAGTAACAGAACTTGAAAGCAAGGTTTGATGCGGACATACCCTTGACTCCTGCCCTAGCAGTCTGTGTGTCGATATTTGGATATGGTCCCCTGTTTGGACTCCACCTTCTGTACCTGTCAGGAGCCTGGAAGTGGGAATGCCTGATGTCCCCGTCAAGTCATCCAGTCCCCTGCCCTGTCAGGTGCAGACTGAAACCTTTGACAATAAGCTCCCAGTTTGAAAGAAAATTTCACACGGATTATAGAGATGATATAATCGTCACACCTCTGTTCCTCATCATGGATGATGCCTCTTCCTTCCCCTCACTTCCTGCTGCTCTCCTGATCCCTGGGTAATCATCAGAACCTTAGGGCTGGTCATTTTGTGTTTTTCCATTCATTGTAACCTCTTTGGTAGGAGGATCTGTTCCAAACCCCTGGAATGCAGGAGGAGTTACAGCAGATCATTGATTGTCTGGACACCAGCATTCCCAAGACAATCCGTATCCTTTTCGACAAAGGCTTAGGAAGCTGGATGTGCACTCGCTCAATCTCTTCTTCCCACCTGCGTGTGATTTTTGTGTTTTCCATATTTATTTTATTTGTAACTGTCTTTTGACTGTACAGTTTTCAATTCCCTTTAGGAACTTTCACGCTTTCTCTGTATGAGACACTTATGAAAAGGAATCAAAGGGTAGATAACCATGAATTGTAATTGGCATGGGACGTATGACCTACAGCCGTGGTGCTGCTCTGCTTTAGGCCAGTGATCACTCCTGCCACCACACCACAGGGAGGAGGATGGGAAACCTTGGTGATGAGTTTCCAGTGTGAACTGTCATTCTGCAGGCCACGTTCCCTTGACTCTCGAGTCAGGCCAAACCTCCCAAGGGTGTTCGATCACTCCTCTAACAACTCAGCTGCAGCATACCTGGACCACTAAAATATCAAACCCCAATTAGGATCAGGGTGCCCTGAATTAAGAGGAAGAAAACCACCCCTGAGGGAGCTTGAGGGAGGGAGCACATTGCATCTAAGTGTGGCCTTTCTCCTGGAGCCTCTTTCCCTTGACAGAAGGCCATCCAGCTGGCAGTAACCACTCAGTGGCTGAGGCACTGCTCATTTTCCTAGAAGCCCTGCCGGAACCTGTCATCTGTTATGAGCTCTATCAGCGATGCCTCGACTCTGCTCAGGATCCCCGCATCTGCCGACAGGTGAGTCTTGTTGCTCTGAGAATGTGTTTGAGGCAAGTTCTCCCACAGAGAAATCACCATTTTTACAAAGCCAGCTGGACAACCAGCTGTGTACTAGGATGGGTCTCGATCTGTTCAGAGCAGGACACCAGCATTGAAAGTTGGGACTCTTCAACTGTAGTCTGTGTTATTTCCTATTATATTTGCCACCCTCTTCCAGTTAGCCTGTTGAGTAGGGTGCACACCTCTTCTCCAGGGTAAAATTGGTAAAACTGATCACATGCAGCATTCTGGCCGGCAAGACCAGGAAGGGTGGGTGACACTCGTGAGCCTTTCTTTTTGTCTTCTCGGTGTTTGTTTTTAATCTTTAAATGCTTTTGAGGCACAATAGCTAAGAATACCTCTGAATCAGACTAGTGAGTATCGGGAGGTGCTCCCACCCATGCCAAATGGCATTGCACGGAAAACCATTCAGCTTGGCAGATGCCACCGCCACCTTCCTGCGGAGGTTGGGAGAAACCAGACTGATACCCATCTGCACCTGAGGCAGGGCGTGCGTATGACTATGTGTTAATGTGGCCTGCTCATTGAGTGGACACGGGCCAAACAGGATGACCATTCTGCCATGTGAGTTACCATTCAACAGTTAGTATTGGTCATGAGTCAATAAGGGAGGGGTCCTGTAAGGGTTGAATTATAAACTGCTTTCATGGCAGCTGCAAGCTCTTCTTATTCCCTTCCTCCATCTGTTATCCTCACTGCCCACCCCCCCCCTTTTTTTTTTTAAAAATACAGGTGATTTCCCAGCTTCCAGGATGCCATAGAAATGTTTTTCGTTATTTGATGGCATTCCTTCGAGAACTCTTAAAATTCTCCGAGTACAACAATGTCAACGCCAACATGATCGGTAAGAACACTTCCTAGGAATGGCCACATGGGAGCATTGGTCAGGATTGTCCGTGGATGGTGGACACATGTATTCCCTTCTTTGTGTCCAGGCGTGCAACAGTCACTTCCTCCCACTGCCCTCATCCCCTGGCCCCCATCCCTGAGGTTTTGCTTAGGTTGTGTCTGACTGAGGGTTTTCCCCTTTTCTTTCTCTCTCCCTCTAGCTACTCTCTTCACTAGTCTCCTCCTAAGGCCTCCACCCAACCTTATGGCAAGACAGACTCCAAGTGACCGCCAGCGTGCTACCCAGTTCCTTCTGACTTTTCTACTTGGGAGTGATGAAGACTAATGATAAGCCTTTTCCTCTTACTACTCTCTGAGGTTCTAGAGGCAGAAGATCTTGGGCCTCGAGTATTTCAGAATGATTTCAAAAGTCACGCCACAGGAAGGGTCCGTTGCAGAATTTCGAGGCTGTTGGCATGAAAAAGTTCTGTTTCTAGTGTGAAAGGAAAAGAGTCTCTTAACCCCTCCCTTGCCATATCCTACGCAGCAAGATACTTTTAGACTTATATTGCCAAGCCAAAGTTAACCATATTTTGGTGTTTTTGTGTTCTCTCTTCATAAGGCAAAGAGACCTGTATTTACACTCCTTTCCCTGGGGATGTGTGTGTTGCCCTCCAGCCCAGCCATCATGATTGTCCTTAGCACCTGAGAGCTAGATTCTGAGGTGTTCCCCTTCTAGGCCCACAAGCACTACTTGCTGTAGCTCAGACTTGTCCGCAGTCCTTGGTCTAAAGCACTTTGGCCCTACCGCCTCCGTGTATCACCCCTTTGTGCTCTACTCCACTAATACTACCATGTCAAAGAAAGTCAGTGAGGCTGTGACTCCTTGGGTATCTCCAACAATGAGTTAACCATCTCCATGTGGCTTTTACATGCATCTGTGCATTCCTACCACAATGGTATCTGTGTCCCTCCCTAACATTGGCCTTTTATGGATCTGTGATGAGTAGAAGCATATTCTCTTGTCTCAGACCACACTTAGTAGCAGAACATTAGGGACTATTAGAGATGACGTCTCATTGATGTGAGAGAATCACAGAGTGGAAGCACTCTTGAATGTTTCAGGAGTGAGAGTATTCATGTTCGACAGGTCCTGCTTCCTACCATCCCTTTTGGTTCTTATGCAAATTGTACACAAAAACCAACCCTGGGTGTCTGTGGGGCCCATACCCCACTTAGAAATCCACCTCCAGAGCAACGCTTGTACCACAGTCAAAAAGGGAGGCTGCACTCCAAGTGGCCCTCTCTACAGAAACTGTTCCTTCCCCCAGCAGGGGAATTGAGGATAACCCCGAGAATCCCCTCTCTGCTCTCCTGATGTACCATCACCCCCTCCCACATCAGGACTGACTGGGGCCCTGCAGCCAGCTGCCCTCAGCTCCCAGTCACCTGTCCAGTGCTGCGTGAAAGAGACTGTGCAGTGGGACAAAGCAAGCACCTTCTCTAGCTCCCAAGACAACCCTCTGAGCTTGTCATTTACCCAAGCTCCTGTGGGGCAGCCCTTTTAAAAAAAATTAATCTATGTTGGTTGGCAAACCAGCCACTGACTGCAAAACTGCCTGATGTAATTGACTTCCTCCTGGTTTTCTTTCATTAAAACCACCCTGAGTTGACTCATTGTCACATGTTCACATGGAAACCCCAGAGCCGTGTGTATAGGCTGTGTGCAAGGTCTTAGGCATTGACTCCTGACTCTTCTAGAGCATTGAAGCAGAGAGCCAGGAAAGCACTGCCATTGAGTGGTTCTTCAACTCCCCTGTCTCCCATGCATTGAGTTCTTTGGGGGAAGAAAAGGTATGTATCCTGTGATATTCTGCCTAAAGCCTTTCCTGACTGGGAATTATGGAAGTAGGAGTCAAGTTATTGGTACCAAATAGCTGCAGACCTGGTCAGTCAGGGGCTGGGTGCTGAACTCAGTTACTGGCCGACTGAGCACAACCCTTTTGTCATGTCCACTAGGTCAGAAAGGGATCTGAGGAGAGGCAGGTGATAGATAGACGCTGGGGCAAGGTGGTCACACAAAGACAGGGAAGTGCCTGTCCTAGACACATTTCCCAGTCAGCTACCACCTGGGGCCTTCATGTGGTCAGGGCTGTGGTTGGTGGGGACCGTGGGCAGCGTCCGGCTCGCTCTCTAAGGCAGGTGCACTCGGTTGCTTCATTGCCTCCACCTTCTGTCCACCTCTGGTCCTGGGATGTACACAGGGTCAAGGGTTTTAGACAATCTCTTGGGACGGGAGATCAGAAACAGAGCAGACATAAGAAATCTGTTTCCCTGCCTACTCCAGCACCCCACTCTCTAACCCCTAGGTACCTCTAATGTGCTATTTCCTAGCGCCTCTGAAGTAAGGAGTTTAGATCCAGCTGGTAAGGAAAGACTCTGCAGCTATCGTTTTAGGGAAGAAATGGTTTAACCCCTTGTGATGATGTTGCATTAGTCTCCTTTTCACTGTTTCCTAATTTTTATCCTGTAATGAATGGTTTGTTATATTTCCCCAAAATGTCTTGGTCACTAAGCAAAGCTGCTAGTGGGATTCTGTATTTCGTGTCATCTTTTTTATTATAATTTATTGCAAATTTTTTCTGAATAAATATATGTTGTGTGAAAAACCAAAGTGTGATCTTAGGAAGAACTGAGGGGATGGCTTATGTCACCAGGTCCCACATGACTGCTGCCATCCCCCCAGCTATGCCTGGAGTAGCATTTCCTATCTTGAAAGGAAATAGCATCAGAATTCTCAGTGTACTTGCCCATGGAGAGGAGAAGAAACCACATATTATCAGAAATAAACAAAGCAGTTACAGTGCTTTCAGAAGCCAGCCAAGGATCCTTATTTTGACCCTGGGGATTCAGGCAACAAAATAACAATGTTAGAAGAAAAGATGTTGATTCTTGATGGCCGTAAATGTCACACTGAGTCAGACCCATGATTGCGCCAGCCCCAGGAATCTGACAGGCTCTGTCGTATGCATTTTTGGAGAACCGCATTGGCCTTGGCACCATAACCTCAGTAGTTTAGACTTGCCTCCCAAAGAGCCTGTTTTCACATCATTCATTTGCAACTCTTAAAAAATCAGTTTTGAACTTGTAGTACCTCTTTGGGGTGACAAAGCCCATAAAGTTAGTTGTGCTTTTTTGAACTCAAATCTGAGCTCCATCACTTGGAAGAGGAAGCCCCTCATTTGAACATAGTGCCTTTATTCCCCTGCCTCCAATCTCTGGTATGGATTTGGGCATTCTGATTCCTTTCCCTTCAGGACTGAAGAGGCCTCAGCAGGAGGCTTCTTTTCAACCAGGGCCCTCTTCCAGTCTGCTCCATGAACTTGACCCAAATGCATGTGCTGATTCAGTGTTGTCATGAACAGTTTTTGTAGCCCCACCCAAAGCCTTGGCAGAAGAAGGTGTTTCCTTTTGCAATGATTCCACACAGTGGATGGAGCAGCAGGCAGTGCGACAGGGCAGCCTCAGTGACTACCTCCCGGAGGTTAGAAACTGCCTGCGAGCTGCTGTTACTGGAGACCCATGGCGGCCTTCCTGAGTGCCAGGCAGGTGGAAGCCCTGTCTCTTAGTGTAGCCTAGCAACCTAAAGCTACATGTTGCCCCGGCAAGATTGCTGCTAAGTTAGAGAACCTTGGTGGTGGTCTAATCCAATCCTGTTTTTTCTGATGGTCTAAGTCAGGCTCAGAGGGGATGGTGAGTGACTTAATGTCACTTAGGTTAGTGACAGGGCATGGCATACTGGGGAAAAAAAGAGCTCCCTCCAGCTTTGGAGTTAGACCTAGTTCTTTTTTCTATTTTTTTTTTTTTTTTTTTACAAAACTTTTCAAACATATAGAAAAGCTGAAAGAAGAGAACATGAACACCCTAGACCCCTAACCTGTGCTCACCAACTGTTAACATTCTGCCCTAACTGCTTTATCTCAGAGAGGCCTGGTTTCAATCTGGGTTTGGCCACCACCTCCTTGTGCGTGGTCCTGGACTAACTCACCTCTAGTTTCCTGGCCTATCAAATAGAATGGGCAGAGTACCAGTCTTGTATGACTTAACTACTTCACTTTCATCACTTCTCTCCTGAAAACACTTCAGTTACTTCCCAGTGCATTTAAGAAAAAAGGCCAGACTTTCCTATGGCCCACCGGGCCTTGCGTTATTAAATGAGAAAGAAACAAAGTGGCAAACCTGGTGCCTGGCACATAGTGGGTGCTGTGTGGATGTTAGCCATCCCCACCCCCGCCCCCACTCTGCACCAGACCATATGATGCTGGCTCTGCTGCCCTACCCAGGGTTTTTGCACTCACTCATGTGCTGTTAACAACCTTGGCTCGGTAAAATCTGACACCTGCTCAGCCTGCTCTGCTTCCCTCCTCCCCCCACCACAGACACACCATCCAGTCCCCTTCCATACTTCCAGATTTCAGTTCCACCACACATCTTTTTGGGAGTGGGGCTGAAGTGTCAATTAAAGGATGAATAATGAGGCGCCATCACCAGCATGTCACACCTGATTGCGGTGAGCCTTGAACCTTGCAACCTTACCCATGGCTCTGCCCATGCCCACCACTGGCTTCCTTTTGCTCCTTCCTGCGCTGTCCACCCTCAGTGCCTGGTTCCTAGCCCCACTTCCTCTGCCTGTGCCTGGGATAAAGTGCCCCCCCCCACCCAGTTACCACCTTTGCTGCTCACCTAAGTTGATTCTTTCCCGACCGATGCTGCCTTCTTCCTCACCTCGGTCCCGGTTCCCTGGGAGGAGATAAGATCACACTTTGAAGCCATGGCTCTGTGTTGGTCAATGACCCCATCTTGACTACTTACTAGAATCATCTAGACCATGTTTCTCAAAGAGTGGGCCCCAAACCACCATGCTGAGCACTGTGAAATGAATTCAATAAATATAATCCCTGCCATCTACAAGCAGGCCCCCAACCACCAATACCTGGAAACTGGTCTAAATCAGCAGTTCTCAACACTGACCGCATAACCTGGGGTACTTTAAAAAGTACCAATGCCTGGGCTCCACTTTGGACTGTTTGCATGCCAACCAGTCACCATCCCCCATCCCTGCCACTATACTGTGACACTGTCCTTTCACTCCTCCCAGTGAGCTAAGCTCTTTCCCGCCCCAGGGCCTTTGCAGATGCTGTTTTCTCTGTCCAGAAACCCCCTCCCTCATGCATTTCAGAAAGCCTCAGCCTCCATCTTTGCCATGGTTAGACATGAGTCACCACCTGCCCCACCCCGTGGTCCCCTTCACTCTGTGCTCCCATTCCTAGGTTCCTGGCACAGCATACTGGCTGGCTGGCTGCCCCTGGGCCTGCCATGCGCCACTTATTCCACAATCCTCTTCATCTCCTCCTGATCCTTCATATACCCATGCCTTGGGGGCCAGGGAGGCAGGGAATTGCAGAGGTTCTTCACCAGGCTCCAGCAGCCAGACTGCCATGTCCTAAATGTCTGACCTTGGGAAAAAGTGAATTGACCTTTCTGGACCTCTTAAAACAGAAGTAATGATAGTACCTTTCCTCACAGGATTGTCAAGAGATGAAATCAACTAGTCTGAGAGCCTTGAAACAGTGCCTGGTGCATAAGTGCTAAATAAATGGCAACTAGTACAATTATTCCAAAACCCTCCACCAGCCTCAGAGCCCAGACCCCTCTTTTGCTGCCCTTCAGCTCTCAGCAGGTGACTGCACCCTTTCCTTTGTGAAAATGTCAAAGCGGTCAGCTGAAGCAGCGCACTTGAAGCCCTGCACTGCATATCAAAATATCTCTAGGGTCCCCTCATCCCTCCCCCTTCCCTCCTGCCTTGGAAGTCAGTGATCTCCCCTGCCCAGACCACCCCTCCTCCCCACCTCCTCCACCCTCACTGGCCTTGTTCCTGTCACCATCACCCCTCCTTTCTCATCTTCTGCACCAGGCATTCATTCAAGTGTTTGCTGAGTCTCTCCCTTGCAGCAGGTGCTGTTCAAGGTGCTGAGGATGTAGAACTAAACACAGTAAAGTGGCTGCTCTTGCGGTACTTTCTCCGGGAGGGTGAGGCAGAGCAGGGTAGGTGGACATAGAAGTAAGCCATGCACAAGGTAACTGGAGATCGCGATGAGCGCTCTAGAGAGAATAAAGCAGGATGATGTGCCAGAGGGCATGGCAAGGGGGCTTGCTCATGGACCTTTGCTTTGAAGTCGTGATGTCTGAGCTGAGATCTAAGTCTCAGGAAGCCAAAAGATCCCATATCTCGATTTCAATGAGGATTACAAAGCATACACACTCCCCTGTCCCAGAAAAAAGCTAGCTGCACAAGATCTGGCAAAGAACCTTCCAAGCAAAGGAAGGAGCAAATGCAAAGGTCCTAAGGCAGCAGAGAGCTTGCCGAGTTCAGGGGGCAGGCAGGCAGAACACAGCTGAGGGGTTGGACAAGAGGCAGGCAGGGACCTGACCAAGCGCGGAGCCCGGGAAGGAGGCTGTCTTACTCACCGTGCAGCGGGAAGTCGTGATGGTGTTACTCAGGAGTCATGGGATTTATGCTCCCTCTCCAAACCTTAATAATAGTAATAACTCATAACTATAGCTATTCTTTGCCCCAAGTGCTGTATGAATACATTTAACCTCACCTTAGCCTTGACAACCACCTTATAGGGTACCACTTTATCCCAATTTCACAGGTGAAAAAAAACCTGAGGCTCAGAAAGTGAAAGTGAAGTCACTCAGTCATGTCCGACGCTGTGACCCCATGGATCTGTAGCCTCCCAGGCTCTTCCATCCATGGGATTTTCCAGGCAAGAATACTGGAGTTGGGTTGCATTTCCTTCTCCAGGAGATCTTCCCGACCCAGGGATTAAACCCGGGTCGCCCGCAATGTAGGCAGACGCTTTACCATCTGAGCCACCAGAGGCTCAGAAAGACTACCCAATTTGGTACTTGGATAGTGGAAGACCAAAATATGACCCCAGACCAAAATTTGTGCTCTGAAACAGACACTATCACCCCAGCTGGAGTAGGGGGTGAAGGCAGCGATGTTCCTTAAAATCTCTCTCTTTTCTAGCTTGTTGTTCAGTCCGACTCGGCATACCAGACTTCCCTGTCTGTGATGCCATCCAACCATCTCATCCTCTGTTACCCTTTTCCTCCTTTTGCCTTCAATCTTTCCCAGCACATCCCAAGATTTCAAGTCAGCTGCGTAACCTGCCAGTAGCTCAGATTCAACCTGACATTGATCCTGACCAGCTTTCCCTGGCATCCTGCTCTCTCCCACCACTCAGACTTGACTCCATGCCTTGGCACCTGCCCCACTTCTAATCAGTCACCACTGGCAATCCAACAAGTATTAGGTTTCCGGTAAGTGTAGGCCACTATGCAAGGTTCAGAAGGAAACCTAGATGAGTAAGTCTGATTATCATAAGGTAAGATATATGTAACACTTTTTTAAAAGGAAAGAGGGAGAAAGAAAAGAGGGAAGGAGGAGAAGAGAGCAGAGAGGAAGGGAGAAAAGGTGGGATGGGACATCCACAGAAAAGAAGCTAAGGTCAAGTCATTCACAGTCTCCATTCGGCCCCTCCTTGTCACTCCCCACCTCCTGTGCCACACCACCAAACTCAAACCCTCATTACCTAATCCC